AATCATGCGGACACGCTCTTTTGGACAATGCAATAGTGGTTTGGAGTACATTTATCTGAAAGCAGCAGAACAAAACCTTGTGGCTCTCCAGGCAATGAAGGGCAAGGCATGGAGAATGCGCAGCCACACGTGTGAACTCTGCTTGTGTCATAACGATGCACGTGAGTTAACCACACTGCACTGCAGCATACTGCTGGTGACAGTCGCCATACATTCTATCACACTGCAACAGTGCATGCCGCCTCTACAACAGTACAGTCAACCACATTGCAGCATATAATCCGCAGCCACAGCTGCACTTTAAATCTGTACTCCGCCTGTACAATTGTACTCCGTAATGTACTCCGTAATGTGCTCCGCCTGTACAATTGTACAATCAGCTGCACAACAGTGATGCATTCCTCCACCACGGTAGTATATTCAGCCACACAACTTTAGTGTAGACCGCATGGTGATTGTGGTGACTGGGCATATGTGCCCAGTCAATTGCCAATGTAACCAGCTGTGCTGGAACTTTCAGCAGGCAATGCCAAGAGTCTCGCATAGCTGAAGCATGTTTGTGTGCTTGCAGGGGACGTTTCCCGACTCAAACTACTCTTCCTCCAATCGTGATGCCCATACACAAGGGATCGCCGCCCCACCCCAACCATCACTGCCATCACAGCAACCAGCGCCCCGCTGGCCACAGCCATATCCTGGAAGTTTGGCTGATCCGTGGCAAGGAAGTGCCACCACGGATGCTCGGCCACTCTCAAATTTTGGAGGGAGTGCAGTTGTTGACCATCCGCCATCAAGTTTCGGAGGTGCCACTGTTGATGAGCCTCGGGTCCCTGTGCGACGACCAGTGCAGGTGAGTGCAGGGTTGTTGCCATTGTGCTGGGGTAGGATGTGCAAAGGCTTGGGCGGCAATGTGAGGCGTTGCTGGATAAATACGATGCCTTGCTGGCATGCCTTGTAACGTGGGCTGCAGAAGGCAAGATCTGTCTGGCTGCTCCTTGGCTGCGCCGATCGATCAGTATTCTGTGGCTGTTGCCTGTACAGAAATGGACACCAACTGTCTATCCACAGGGAATGCAGCTCAGCGCTCATTTCCCAGGCCACTGTGGTCCATGCTGTTGTTGAATATCATTGTGAGAACGTTGGCCCCGGGAGCCGTAGGGTTGGCTGGGGTGTGTGTAGGGAACGTTGAGGAACAGGGCTGGGGGAGCTGTCTGTGTCGGCTTGGGATCTATGTTCTGACACTGTGCCATTCACATATGTTATCAAGAAGGAAGACAAGTCTGTGAACGCCATTTGTTTCTCCGAGTCTGTGAGCAGCAGCTGCCATAGCTCAGCAGGTGTGAGTGCAGCATTTCATTAGTTTTGACAGTTTGTTCCTTGTAGATTTGTGCCCATGTTGTATGCAAAGGTCTCAAGGGCTTCGTGGTCTGTTTGACAGGAACCTGCACCACGAATGGGAGATCCTGACACTGGGGCCCCACAACAATTCCACACTCTGAACTATGACATCCGGGTTCGCCCCTCAGACGGCTCTGCCACGCTCGGGTCGGGCGCCTATGGCTCTGTGGAGGCTGGTGTATTCACCGATGAGAATGGCAGGCATGTGCAAGTGGCGATTAAGTATGGAACCGGCCTGTTTGCCACAAAAAAACCCTCAGAGGTGGCTGAGGTTTTCAAGCAGGAGCTGGATGTGATGAGCAGAGTGCCCGTCCACCCCAACATAGTGTTGTGCTACGGAGGTCGCGTGAATTTCAAGCCGGGGGAACACATTGGCGAGCGCGACGTGTATATTGTCGAAGAGCTGATGCATTCGAATCTGCACGAAGTGATTCATGGGGATGAGTTCCAGGGGCGCATGCCTTTCAGCCTGATTCTGAAGTATGCCCTAGACATTGCCAGTGGGCTGGAACACCTGCATCGTGCCTCGGTGATGCACTACGATCTTAAGCCTGCGAACATCCTTGTGGACAATGAACTAAGGAATGTGAAGATCGCCGATTTTGGAATCTCCAAAGTGAAAGCTTTTAGCTACATCACAGGCACCTTGAGGGGAACAATTGGTAAGTGTTCCAACTTGGTTGATGCCCATCAGCTTGTTTGGCTTGGCAGTTACTGAATCATGATTCCATTGTGAATTGCCATTTAGGATGCTGCGTTATGGCCATTAATTGTTTTAAGCTGGCGTTGAGAATGCATCCAGTGGCGAGCTCCGATGGTTGCCTTCGACAGGCTGTGGCTATCACACCCATTCACTTGTGATTGATGCTAAATGCAATAGGGCTCAATTGTCAGCATTCACACGCAGGCATGATGGAGCTGCCAAGGCGATGATGATTCCAGGAGTAAGAACCCTGCATCTCTGTCGAAATTGTGGATAGGAGAAAAGAGCTTTGTGGTGCGGATGATTCTGTGGCGATTTACTTTTCTCTAATGGGTCTCTTTGGGTTTTGCAGGGTACATGGCTCCGGAAGTCCTGTTGTCACATTTCATGAAGAACCTGGTCAACGAAAAGATTGACGTGTACTCCATGGGAGTGGTGCTGTGGGAGATGGTGGAAGGCAAGGGCCCCTCCGACCCCATGTCCTTTGGCAACGAGTCACTGGGGGGCACCAACACCGCTGTGTCGATTGAGGAGGATCGATTCCCCATTACCAGGCCGTGCCCCGAACCCCTGAAGCGGCTCATTGACGAATGCGTGAGCTTGGAGAGTGGCAACAGGCCAACTGCGCGGGAAGCTCACCAGAGGCTGCGCGATATGATTTCTGCGAACAGGAACTGGACGGGATCCAGTCCCGGAGTCGATGGGTGACGCTGGAAACGCCATGTGCTTCGAATGGAATGTCTATCAGACTGCGAACAAAGAAAAGTGCCTTTGACTTTGGCATCCCCGAATGTGTGTGTGTGGGGGGGGGGGGGCGGGGCTTTTGGCGCCCGCTGATTTCGTTTGCCAGTCCTTTGCAAGATCAAAATTTCGTTCTCTGGTGCCCTGTGCTGTGTGGCCGCTGGCAGGCGCCGTTCCAGTCCCTTGGCCCCTGAATCGCGATGCACGTCCTGTGCACAGGATTCAAGGTTCCACGTACGCCGTGTTGTGATCGCGTTGGGAGAGCGCCTGGCGCCTGCCTGGAATGCCGAAACTGTACAGTTATCTAAATGCTCATATCTGGACATCCGTTCCCTTCATCGACATCGGCGTGCGGCAGCACCAGCCCCATACCCTCGCCCAGCCCCTTCCCACCACCACCACATACCCACCCCACCCTCCTCACCCTCCTCACCCACCCTTGCCACGTCTGCTCCCTCCGTCGCTCCAAACTCGAGACTATGTGGTAAGTGCGTTGCCAGAGCGTAAGACGACCCCCCCAGCGAGGGTGCCTGTCATGCCTAACGTCGAGGTTGGAAGGGGTTGGAAGGTTGGGAGTGTAACTGGTTGTCTCCGTAGAGATTCACGTGCCTGGCTGATTGAGGGCCAGCTGGCTGTGAATGTTGTGCGAACTGGTGTGATCATGGACGCCAGGATTTGCGGCTTGTTTGAGAAACATTAGGGCGGAAATACTGGGCTTGTGGAACCGTGTGGCTCACTTTCGTTCCAGAGCGGATGCTAAACCCTGAACCCTAAAATGTTCAAAAATGGACAGCAGTCAGAAGGTTGTGGCCGCTGAGCAGAGAGGTTCTCTGGGGGAGAGCAATCCCGAACAGAACACACCGATCTCAACCGGCGTTGAGGTGCTCAATCTCGGGTGGGCGTTGCGCTTGGGGTTGCCGCATCTGTTTTCGCGTAGGAGAATCAAATTTCTGGCCATCCAGCCGCCGTTTGAGGCGGGCACCAAGATGGTGTTGATGGCAATTCAGCTGCATATTTGAAGTGATTAAGCGAGTGTCACGGCCACAGCGTCTCCCGCTGGTCCAGATTCGACAACCTTTCACATCTCGTCCGCAGCACACTGGGTGGTGTTCGCAACACAGCATAATGACCACCGTTTCACTGGGTGGATCACTTATGCATTATGGTGTGCGACTTGTACATATTTGTACATTACCACTGAGTGTATGGGCACCTTTGACATATGTTTTATGAAGTGGGTTGCATTGTGGTGATGAATGGGTATCTCTGAAGTGCGATATAGCTGGTTGTTGATGGATGATGGTCATTATCATGTCAAAAGAAGAGTTCTGTGGGTGCTGGAGAATTCGAACTATTCGGTTGCGGGGGTCGTTGCCACCGTCGGCAAGGCTCTTTGTTGTGGAAAGGGTGAACAAACGTGTAAGCCCTGGGCGGTCTGTGTGTGGCGTGGCCTTGCGTCTGGCCGTGCGCCAACCCGTTGAAGCATCGGCGATCGTGGATTCGCGCTTCCCGTGTGCACTCCAAAGGGGGCCGTTTGATTTGCGTCAACGGCATTTCCTTCAAGAGTGGCCAATTGTCGGCTGTCTGTTAGCGGCTCAGGAGCAAGCACCGACGACGCAAACAGGTCCAATCATGGCATTGAGGCCGCGTCAGCCTGTTTGTCCATTGTTGACAGTCGCAAGAAAAATATTTACACACGTGCACACTTACAAAACGGGGCACTGAGCGATTTAGGCAGGATCGGCCACCAGACATCGGCCAACACCAGGCATTTGTCCCTCCTTGCTACTCACAGCCACGAGCGCGTCCCTGAGTATCCACTCGCGCCTGCAGCCAGGCCAGGCGCTGCCAGGGGTATTATTCCACCATCATGGAAGCACAAGGCTTCCAAAAGAATGAGCTAGAGCACCACTCTTGACGACCAGACTAAAGAAGTGAGTCAACTATGAGCGACCAAACACCAACGTGCAAATCGGACGGCAGGTCTGTCCCACGTCATGCATTTAACCGCCTGTGCACGCACCATGATGCCCAGCCAACCCGCCACCCCATAAATCGTCTCAGGAAAGAAGTGAAAGATATGAGCACCTAAGTTGTCCGTTTTCTTCTCTGGGTTGGATCGTTTATCTGGACGCGGCTTTGACATCATCATGCAGCATCAAAACCATCTTCCAGACTTCTTCTTCGCGGCCTTCGCAGCGGCCTTTGCTCCGGCCGCCCTCTCTTTCCGGGCAGTGGCGCCCACAAGGTCAATGACGACGGCCGCCACGTTGTCCGTGGTGTATCGCTTGATGGCCAGCTCCACTAGCCCTTCGGCGATTGCCTGCGACGACTCTCCCTTGTCGATTTGTTTTCGAGTGTATCGAATGGCATCAGCACTCGGCATGACGTCCCTGGCAGAGATAGCGAACGTCAGCACTTGCATCGGGCATTGGCGGGCTCATTCTAGTCAATGGCCTTTTGTCAGGCCACATGGGTACTCCCTGTGCCCAGCCAACACTCGCAAGCTGGCCAGCACGACGATGCGACTCTTGCAGCTGGGGACATGTCATACAGCGGGGCACCCTTCCCACCAACGCGCAAGAGGCTCTCGTCCACTTTAGACAGGTGTCCAACAGAATGGGAATGCCGTTCAGTAACCTACAGTTTCACTACAGATGTATCGCGACTGGTTGGCGAAAAGCGAGTGTATACTGGAGAGGCAAAGGCAGTATACACAAGCAGCTGATCTGAAAGACAATTGGAAGGACAGACGCCGGGGCTTCCAGGGGGAAATACGTCTTGCGCATTTCGGTATTAAGGGTTGAGAAAACTGGTTGTCCAAGATGTGACCAAACCCTAAAGCCCTAAATCCAATATTGAACACAATAGCAACGGTCATCCACAACGGAAATGAATGGCTAAAGGAAAACACAGCAAATTATAAACTACTCAAAGGCAACTCTCTTTCACAAGCAGTATTACCTTGCCCTTGCAACAGGGATGGAGTAAGAAACACAACCCCCGTTGGCAGTCACCCATATGGGGCGTGTTTACTCTGCCGCAGACTACAATCGAACAATCGAACTATCCGGTTCACAGCCTGCTGACACTCCTGCCAAGTGGCACAAACCATCGACCCAATAGCACAGTACGCTGGAGGCCAAATTCTGTGTCGTTCACAAGTTACGTAACCGGCATCGTCTAGTTGGTGAAAGCACAGTGGCTCTCGATGCTTTGACATTTGTAACAAGGATGCATGCAAAGCAAAGAGGGACAAGTGGTCCATGTGGAATTTGCGGCACGTACCACAATCCATCTGTTGCAACGATGACGAACTCGTCAATGTCTCCCAATGGCAGCTCTGTAACATCAGGTGTTGCCACAATCGGGTCACCTGTGAAATGGACACTGTCTGCAAATTCCTTCGTTATGAAGCCCTCTCTGCAAAGTCAGAAGAGGGCAATCAATTCAACATCGTGCCATCACTCATGATGCGCAACTGCATTAACCACTCTGTGACTAACAGAAGACCTGTCAATGCTGCACTTCTATTCTGTTGTTTGAAAGACAAGCACATCAGTGTTGCATCGGCAGCCACAGAATTGCCGCAAGTATCAACAAAGCCCTGGTAGCAGCACTGCGGGCAGTATGGCAGTCTTGTAATTGCATAGCAAGAGCATCTCACCCCACACTCTCTGCCAGGCCATGAGGAAGCCCCTCTCCCTTGAACTCCCAATCCCCAAATGCTCGAGACACCGCCAGCACGTCGCACACGCGACCATCATTGACCCATCCACCAGCAGCGTTGACCCTATCGATCTCAGGCTGAACGGCTGCTCCGTACCCATACACCCTGTGCTCTGTCGTCAGGTCAAATGCCTGGCCATTTCTGCACAAAACCGCACGTGAGTCGCCCACATTGGCAACAAGTATGCGGTCTGGCTTCACAAGTGCGATCGTTGCTGTTGAGCCTGATTTTGCAGCCCGCACCCCTCCCTCCTCTGCAAAGACACAAGTCTACAATTGAAACACGATTGTCACACTCCAACAGCAACAAGGCGGAATCAAACTATACCTGGGCTACGTAAATGCAGGCGGCAAAGTGCATTTGTGCCTTGCAAACAACAGATGCAACAAGAGCACTGAACTGAACTCACCTCAAACTTATGTTCCTCAAATTCCGACAAAAGCACTGCGAAGCCAAGGCATAATTCACAAACATAGGGCATGTGGGCACTTCTGGCCCCTCAATTCCTTCAGATGCGAGAGTGCTCCAAAAATCCAATCTCAGCATGATGGCACTCGATGATCTCCATTCTCCAACACGAACTGACGAACCCGCAAGTTGGCAACTCACTCTTCAGAAACTTAAGCAGGTCTCTGTCTGCGGCCTCGAAACTTTTCATTAACAGAGGAGTGAGATCGACTGGGCAGCACAGCCCGGTTTGTCCGTCGACCTGATCCAGGGAGCAGCTGCCCCTGAACGTTTCGTCGTCAATGACGCCGGAGAAGATGTCGAACATGTGGTCCGCAAGCCACTGGACGGCGGGCAAACCGTCATGCCCATCCAGGACCACTGCGGAAAGCAGCACGAACGCTCTCGTCAGTTGCCGCCAATCCGTAACACACCAAGTTCATCGTTGGAAAATGCGCCACATTTCGCAAGCCGCAGAATTTTCCCAAGACGGGAGCATCATGACGCATCAGGCGCGTGCTCGTCGCCACGAACACCCCGACCACAATTCCGGATGGTCATTTACGTTCTCTTTGATGAGCCTGTACAGCCTCCCCGTCCACGGACGAGCGAACAGACAGCCCCACAGCCTCCCTCACGCAACGGGGACGCCGCCGGCGGCCCCCGCGCGGCGATCCCGCCCAGCCCTGTCGCCCAGCCCACTCTCCCGGCCTGCTTACTTGCGTACATGAATCCACATTTTCCGTTGGGAAACACCACTGCCTCGTCCTCCATGGTGCCCCGCGGCCCCTGCGCGGCCGCCACACCGAAGTCCAGCCCCGGGCCCACCCCGCCGGCCGCCTGCTCCCGCGTCACCTCCACGATCCCGGTCGTCACCACCCCCGAGGCGACCATCTGCGCGCCGTTGCCCCCGGTGGGCCCCCCGGCACTGGCCTTCACGTCCCCGCGTCTCGATCTCAGCCCATTCCCCATGCCGCCCAGATTCGGAGCCCTGATCGTCCCCGAGTCGATCGACTCGCCCGCCCCGCGGCCGCTGGAGGATGCCGAGGCAGCCGCGGCACAGCCGACGGCGCCGGACCTCAGATCGCGCCTGGCGGCATCCGGGGAGCACCCGTTCAGGTCCAGCCCGAGGATCCCGCATCGAGGCGCCGGCGCCAGGGCATTGCCGCAGGGTATGATGCCCTGTCGGGAGTGTGTGTGGTCCGCCCGCCTGTGACCAAGGCATGGGCCAAAGCCTGGCAGCCGGCCGGCGACGCAGTGCGGGGCATGGTGATGGGGCGCGCCTTGCGGGCGGGCGGCGGTGGGCGCAGGCGAGGAGGGGCCGTGCATGGCGCAAGCCTCGCGTCAGGGGCCAGCAGCGGGTGTGGCGGAGCCAAACTGGGGCCTGCAAGGAGCGAGCGCGGGAGTGGGGTCGGTTGGGGCAGGATGCAGATTGATGGAGCGGCGATGGCGATGCCGTGGACGGAGACTAAGTACTGGAGTACTTAGTTGCACTGAGTGGGGTGCTGGTTGGGCACAGTCCTCCAGCTGTCGCCCGCTGTCTGGGCGGCCACCGGCGGTGCGGCCCTCCCGTGCGGTGCCACGCGCCGCGCCCGGCCTGGGCCGCGGCGGGCAGCCCGGTGTTCGCGCCGGCGACTCTCGCCGGGCGCTTGCCGGCAAGTCGGGCGGATCTCTGGCGCGGAATCCCCGATCGGCGCTCCCGCTCCCGCTTGGGGTCTCGGCGCCGCGCCCGCGGGCGACAGCCCGCCGCCAGCTCACACCCAGACTTCGCCTATCTCGAGGGCCGGAGCTTGGAATCTCATCCGGACGCGGCTGGAAGTTGCCGTCTTAAAAGGAATCCAAGTGGTGGCATTCCGTCTTGGCGGGATCCCGGCATCCCCCAACCGGCCCCAAGGCTCAGGCCTGGCACGCGGCGGCTGACGGCCACCCCACCCACCAGCCGGGGGCCCCAGGCCCCGCGGGGGCCGCCGGCGGCATGGCCGTCTCCGCGCTGTTCATCCTAGACCTCAAGGGGCGGGTCATAATCTCGCGCGACTACCGAGGGGAGGTGCCCATGTCGACGGCCGAGCGGTTCATAACCAAGCTGAACGAGCTGGAGGAGTCGGGTGCCCTGAGCCCCGTGGTGGCGGACGACGGCGTGTCGTACGTGTGGGTGCAGCACTCCAACCTGTACCTGATGTGCGTGACGCGGCGCAACCTCAACGCCGCGTCCGTGGTGCTGTTCCTGCACCGCCTGGTCGATGTCTTCACGGAGTACTTCGAGGAGCTGGAGGAGGAGTCGCTTAAGGACAACTTTGTCATCGTGTACGAGCTGCTGGATGAGGTGAGAGAGAGGAAGGGGGGGCGCTTTGTTCGGATTGGCGCATTTGGCGAGACAGGATTGCGCCCGCCATGGGCAGCGCGGTGTGTGATTATCCCCTTTTGCCGGGGAACGGGTGGCAGCCACCGCGGGTCATTCCCCGCCCAGGATCTCACGGCCCTTTTCTCTGCACTTTCTGTGCGGCTGGTGCCCACCTTGTGAGCGATATTGCCTGGTGGGTGCAATGCCCTTGTTTCGGCCTGGGGACCAGAGCAAGCACAGAAGAATTCGGCCAGCCAATGGGTGCCCTTGCGCCCTGCAGGCGGCGTTGGCCAGGTGGCGGAGGGTGCAGAATTGGTGTTGATCCTGATCGGATTCCTTGGAGGGACAACTGTCTTTTGAAAGGAAGGAAACATGTCACGCAGTGGGCACATCCCTCCAGAGCAAGAATTGAAGGGGCAACCTTTTCCAAACTGTGGATGATGATGCAGAAGTAGGCAAGTGCAAAGCGACTGGCACACGACACGGATGACAGGGGGATCGACGTTCAGAAGTGTTTTGTCTCTTGCCAGTGCCGGTGAAACTCCAAAATGTTCACAGCATCAAATCGCATCAATTACTTGGGGCCACCATTGTGCACAAGGGCGGATGGAAACATCATGTGCCGTTGACATGCACAATGCTGTTGCTAGAATGGTTAGTTCTTTAAACCTAGCTGCAAACACACTGCTTATGTGAGTGCCCATTGAAAAGAAGGGCAAGAGCCATATGACAGACATTGCCAGCCTGATCAAAGCAGTTTTGGGGACCCTTATCTGTGCTGTAGGAGATGATGTACAAGATCACGCAGGAGATGATGTACAAGTGCTGTGGTGTGCTTAGTGGTCTGTGGTTGGGACACAAGCATAAGTGGTTACCATTGACGGGAAGCAAGGACATGTCCATGGTCTGTGGTTCACTTCCATCCCTGCAAGCCTGTACCTCCCAAGTTGCAACATTCAACATTTGCCACGCTTCGTTCGATTGGCTCTGCTGGCTTTAGCAACCCGCCTTTGCCAAAATGCAGCCTCACCAAAGTTGTGGTAGCAGAATCTCAATGCATGCGGACCAGTTCAATGCATTTGCAGTCGACAGCGAATTCCTGATTGAGCGCTTTTTGCTGTGAAGGTCATGGACTATGGCTACCCGCAGTTCACAGAAGCCAAGATCTTGTCGGAGTACATCAAAACAGATGCGCACAAGATCGAGGTGGGCAGTGCGTCCCCCAGAACCAATGGAAATGAATGCCTAAAACTTGGAAGTTCCAGTGTTTGCCCACATGTTGCTCTGTGGATTGGTGTCATGGATTGCTTGCCACAGCGATGGTGGCTTTTACAACATTTTTGGGTTTCTATTATGCAAAGGAAACTGCCACAATGATCATGCAGTTTGTTGTTTAGGCATGGCAATCTGTCTTCCCTGCGCATTTTATGCCGCATAACTGCATCAATTTGCTCAGACAAGGGTATATGCGAAGACAGCCTGAGTTGATGAACCAAGCTGATTGTCCTGCCAAGACCAGCAATTCTGTGTCAATAGGTTCAAGTCAAGCCCCCAATGGCGGTGACCAATGCCATATCTTGGCGTTCGGAAGGGGTCAAGCACAAGAAGAATGAAGTGTTCTTGGACGTCGTGGAGAGCGTGAATCTGCTGGTAAACACCAATGCAATGGTGGTGCAGTCTGAGGTTGTTGGGGTCCTGAAGATGCGTACATTCCTGAGCGGAATGCCGGAATGCAAGCTGGGTTTGAATGACAAGGTGAGCAGTAGTACTTTCCAACCATTCATGACAGCTCCAAGGCCATCATATGTTCCCCGTCGATGCTGCTGTTGCATGGCTATGTATGTACTTTTAGAGTTGCAATCTTGCAGTCCAATCATAGCGTTCCCTGTGCAAAAGTGCTTGGAGTGGTAATGTGCTGTTAATAAACTGCATACCATGGGATTATGCCAGTAGAGCAGATGCATGTGGCCGAGCTTGCAGATGTTTTGATGTGTTGGACAGTTTATTCTCACTGGCTGGTTTGGTTGAGCTGGGCTGTGTCACATCCTGCTGGCACCTACTTGACAACCTTGTAGCAAAGATAGCGAAGGAGACAGTCACTGACCTTCCAAGCACAGCACATCTCCTGTGATGAAAAGGAGGCACACCCCCACTTTTGTCACCATTGTCAACACCACCAAAGTGCCAGACACATGCCAGTCACAGGGTGCTGTGTTGGTGGATCTTATTGCCAAGTACAGGGACGGAGCTTTGACGGATCATGTTGGCAGTTGCTTGGAACAGTGGAACCCGTTGAGAGTCAGCTTGGTTGTGCCTGCAACAGGTCTTGTTCCAGAACCAGGGTCGTGGCTTGCACAAAGCAGTGGACCTCGAGGACATCAAATTCCACCAGTGCGTTCGGCTGTCGCGGTTCGAAAACGACCGGACAATCTCCTTCATCCCACCTGACGGCAACTTCGACTTGATGTCCTACCGCCTGAGCCAAAATATCAAGTGAGGACGTGACCAGGGCTGTCCGCCTCAACTGTGCCCAGAGCTACTGTATATGTGAACTGTTTTCTGTGTTGAGCAAGCTGGTTCTCATTCTGCATGTCATGGTAGTTGTCAAGCAATACAGACAAGGATACAGGGACAGACTCTCTCCCAATTGGTGAATATACAATCAGTACACAGTGTGAAGATTGCAGTGGTTTGCTTTGCAAGAGAACACACAATGAAGACATATCGGCTCCTTTTTCTCCGGCATGCACTGAATGATGCGGATGTGGCGCCCAGCACTGCAAGGACAAAGTGGAAGAAACCATCCTTACTAACTGGAATGTTCCAATGTATGACCAGTTTTCTGTTGCCCGTGCATGCACATTGGGGCACACACACACGAGAGGCTGATCAAGGTACTCTCTGTGCCAAGCGACGTGCGGACAGTGCCAGCAAACTCTTACAGCTATCAATATTTTGTGTAGGCAGCTCATGTGGGACTCATTCGCATAAATGTCGTGAAGTACCCATGTGGCTGCAGTCATGGGTTTTAGAGCCTTGAAAGTGCAAGGGTGCTGTTCATTAATGAGTTGAAATCATGAACTGGGCAGAATTGGCAGTGCAGGATGTTCTTCAGGTTTCTTGCTGAGAAACCTGGTTGACATTGCACTGCACTTGCAGGCCGCTCATCTGGGTCGAGGCCACCGTCGAGCGGCACAGTCGGAGCCGGACTGAATACCTGGTGAAGGCACGCTCACAGTTCAAGGAGCGATCGGTCGCAACAGGTGTACAGATTCTGCTTCCGCTTCCCCAGGATGCGACCGCGCCCATTGTTAGAACCTCTCAAGGCACAGCCAACTACGCACCTGAGAAAGAGGCGCTTGTGTGGAAAATTAAGAGCTTTCCTGGGGGCAAGGAGTATCTTCTGAGGTATGGAGAAAACAGCGATGTTTGCCTGCTGTGGATCCTTGCTGTGTCCTATTGGGTATTGCGGTGAGAATATTTACTAAATGCACGTCACTGACCGCTGAGATCGACCATGCTTTGGCATCACACTGTGATCATGTGCCAGCGACATGGCCCTGTGCATTGCCTTCAGTTTTGGGCAGACAGACAACGTCTTGCCCTGTGCCAGATGCATACAAAGCGGAGCTCAACGACGTAGTGAGCAAAATAACGGAAAATACGGAATGCAGGACTAGCTTTGTTGGCTGGAGAATGTTGCGGACACTGCATTTGGAGAAAGAGGCTGTGACTTTTACCATGCTGTGGCGTCTTCATGCGTTCTTGTCTAATAATTCCTGACAGCCAGCCCAGGTTACAGGCCTGGTCTTCCAGGACGTTCAGCATCACCACGTTCTGGATTATCCATGACCCAATGAAAAGACAGGGGCTTGTCGATTTGTATTATATTCATTTTATTATAATTTATTACAATTTATTGTAATTTATTTTTATTTTTTATTTTTTTATTTTGTTACGTTTATTTTATTCGGGCCTGTCGGCCAGCCTGTGCCACTGTTCTCGCAACAAACAGACGCACCATATATGTCGAAACCGCAGACGTCTTCCTCTGCCAATTGTGCATATGCATCCCCAGTTTTGAGATGGCCGTCATGCTGCTGCACTGCTCCGAGCTGTGGATGCGGCCCAGATGTGCCATTGCCAGATGTTTGAAATCGTTTTCACGGCTTAGGCGCTTGCTCTTGCTCTCTTCAGGTGTAAGTTCAGCCTGCCGTCGGTACAAGCTGAAGAAGACGCGGGGGGGAGGATGCCCCCCATCAGGGTGCAATTTGAAATCCCATACTACACCGTGTCGGGCATCCAGGTTCGGTACCTGAAGGTGATTGAAAAGAGCGGATATCAAGCCTTGCCATGGGTTAGGTACATCACGGTTGCTGGCAACTACGAGATCCGAATGATTTGAGCAAGGGTTCAGGGACGCATCCGATGAGGGCAGGCAGGTCTGCGAGGGCAACAGGGCATTCAATTCGAATGGGCATTTGATGGGTGATCGGTCGACAGACCCAGAACATATGTCGTGCGGCGCAGACAGATTCTTGGACCGCCTGTTGTGCAATATGCATTGCAGTTTGGCCCCTGGCGCAGTGGAACGAGTTGCTGATGGAGAGGGGTCATTGGGGGGCCAGTGCCACCGGCGCTGGCATGTGCACATCAAATGGCTGCTTCAACGAGTTGGACACCGTTCTGCAAACAAAGAATTTGTAAACAACAGAAGCGAAAAGGAAACGTGCCATGGAGCGGCATGATTTAAGGCGGGGCAGGGACGGATGTGGCATAGGGCTTCGCATCGGGCAACTCCATGCACTGCCGAATCGCTGCGACGCCCCACACGCGGGCCAAAGCAGAGACCCGTGCATCACAGAGGCGCGCTGCAGTCTTGGCAAGACTTGTGACGCGACTGGAACTCCAGAATGCTCACGCGGGGGTGGTGTCTCAGCAATCGCTCCTTAAAAGCCTTGGGACAACTCTCCGGTAGTAATTGTTCCGGCGCCAAACCAAACATTTTCACGTTCTCTGCCTCATCGCGGGTCAAGCCGACTATTCTTGGACAGTCCCTGGAATTTCGTTGTGAAGGTATCCTATTGTGGAGATATCCTGAGTGCAGGGGCTGGAAGTGGCATTGATGTACGTTGTTCGTGATTCATGGTCATCGTGCACCAAACCTCGCACCCAAGACGATCTATAGACGGTCCTCAGTGAATAGAGCAGCGACGCCCGACGGCCAGGGGGTCTCCGCCGACGACATGTGCAATAAAGCACGCCACGTGACCATCCAAATCGCACTGTTCCTGTTGATGGCCGGGTTTCGTTGTTCACGCTTCTGGATATCTGTGCACATCCTTCTGAAGCACGGGCACTGCGGAAACCCTTTTCCACGTGCAAGGGGTAGGACGATGTTTGGTTCTGGTGGTAGCTCCGTGGAAAGTCACATGGGTGGCAGCATGCAGACACGGTCTGCGAATAGTGCAATGATTGAACGGGTTTCGGTTGCCTTTATCCAGCCAACAGACCTACCAACTGACGGTCTGAACAAGAGGCTCTCTGACGACTTTGAGCGTTGCGAAGGAGACCAAGGGATGATTTTCAAGCAGCCGATAGAATCTGGCAAACGCTACATGGAACACGGAAGTGAGAGGACGGTACGAGTGTCCTGAAATTCGTCGCGCTTCAACAAGACTGTGGCCGAAACCTCTGCTCTTCCTTCGAGGGCGAATGAACGTCGATGTCGGCCGTCTGGCGCTTACAGTTGACTGCCACAAACCAAGACTGCCTAGTCCATTCACTGCCTATAAATCCGATATTGGCTCAGTCATGCTATCCCTATCTTGACATGCCACTGCAAAATTCGCATGCCAGGCTGTGGAATGAACCCATGCTTCAAATACCTATGCTGTCAATATATCCTCAAACACACTCTCAATGTGCTGTGCCCTGTACACTTGCAACAACAAACGTGTGACTGGCGCCTGCCCAGCCTGAGTTCTGGAGACGGCACTGCCTGCCACGGTGGCAATACTGTGTGAGACTTTGCCCACTAGGAACTGCAGGGGCCCCCTGACTCAACTGCTCCAAGAAATATGTGGATAGGAGTCCTCATAGAGCACGCCATGCTGTTCGTGCCAGAAAGCGGCAGCACTTGTCCATTGTGCATTCCTTGGAATTCCCCAAGAGTTTGCCATCCTGGCGCTTATGCGAAGTGCCACACCTTAAGATTGCCCCTGTTTTGTCCCTGTCCGCCCAAATACGCTCACAATGACAGGTTGAATGACACTTTCTGTCGGCCCTTCCCAAGTATACGTGATTGCTCCTTCTTTTTCCGTTGCTCTTCCTTCCGCTCTCTGCAAACAAGAATCATGTGCAATATGTGAAACACACGGAAAGTTGCAGTTGGGTAAGTGTGACAATGGCATCAACACAAAGAGAAGTGGATGCCCACACCCACATGCAGCAGTGATTGGCAGAACAGGGCACACCACAGGGGCCTCACAAGCTAATTGTCTTAACTTCCCCGATCTTTGTGCGTCATATCACCTTGCTCAGCAACCTTGATGCACTCGATCAGCATCAAACACGATGGCAATTGCGTATTTGTGATGCGCAGCAGGAATTTATCTGCTCACTTTACCAAGTTCACATGCTGAGCGTGTTCAAATAAAGGAGGAGGGGACATGGGGGACGTGGTCATCACCATCGCTGTTCCATTGCCATTCCGAACATGACAAAGGTGCAGGCAAAAGCTACAAAATACAACAGGCAAAAATCGGAAGGGCAGCAATATGCAGCATTATGAAGCACTGTGCAGAAGCACACTGCGCACAGGGTGACGAAAACTCGTTGGGTGCCTTGAAACTGGCAATGCAGATATGAAAACGCACCTGGGGAAGCAGGAAAATGGCTTGCGTGCCAGTGTGTCAGACATCAAATTTTGTGTGAAATGTCTGCAGGGATGTCTTGAAAGGACATTGTGTGGCTGGGACATGAGTCCAGCTTTCTGCACACATTTGACGACGTCACCAAGGTTCCAACCACATGGTTTTGAATAGTGGGTAAAGACGAAGAGGAATCAGTTAGCACACCTCTTCAATTCCTCTTGCCGTTTCTTCTGAAGTTCTTGCAGTTCCAGGTAGCGTTTTTCGTACATCTTCCGTTCTTCATCTTCTTTTATCTTGAGAGCAGCAGCCTCCTACACAGGCAAAAGCAGCCAAAAATCCATCAGCAATGAATTGCACTTGTCAAGAGAACTGATGTCTTTTAAGTTCCAAGCACAGTCAGATTCGAGACTAAATAGTCTCCTGTGGCTGAATTCACTCTACTTGCATCCCAATTGCATACTTCGTTGCGCACCTCCCTTCTCCTTTCTTCCTCAATAAGGGCAAATTCTTCCTCTTTTTTCTTGATGGCCTGCTTTGCCCTCTCTTGATCTCGGGTTGCTCGTTCACGCTCTTCCTGAAGATCTTTCTCCACCTGCACAAAGGATTTATGACACATAGATCAGGCATGCATAAGTTAGCACTGCATTCGCTCACTGCTCAACCCCAATCCAAACAACAGCTCTGCCACAAGCGATGCTGCTGACGTCCAAGACACAGCTACAAACCTGGGGACACATCCACCAATGCTGCACGCAAATTTTTAGTTTGAAGGGGAGCCGTTGCCAGAGCTCTGCTAACACTAGAAACACAGGAACAACTGAATGCCTCCAAGCACACCTGCAGTTCGATTCTCTTTCGCTCTTGCGTCAACTTGAGGTCAAGAGATTGCTGAACAACATCAGACTCCAATGCTTCCCTCACTCTCTGTTCTATCAGCTGGTTGACCTGTCGCTGGGCCTCATCCTCTATGAGTTCGTTCTCCAGTTCAGCTTGCCGCCTGGATGATCCATTCCGACACAAACCCACAGCAACACATCAATTGCCTTCAGAGCAACGCAGAGGAATGCGAACGCCTCTGACACACTGTGCTGCATTGGACTGAAGGGGGTGGGAAACACAAGCATGAATGCCTGCTACAAATGTTAGCTGATCAACAATGATCCATCGAGAGGGCATTGCTGCCAGCCCCCAACTTAAGACCATATCTGAAGTCTGACTCTAACAGAGTCTGGTTTGTGCAGAATCTGCCGACCTCATGCCAGCAGAGCACAACAGTGTAGTCCAAACAGCATGCAATACCAATGAAGCACAGCATTCTCCAACCAATGAGCTGCCTACAGGATGAGGTAAGCCATTGATGCAGTTCTTGATGGATGCCTGCGTGTGGAGAGAATCTGCACATCGCCTTGCCCCACCTTTTCCGCACTTGTTCATTGACTTCTTCATGACCTGGCTCTCCATTGGAGCCCCGGCTTACTGAGGTCTGGCCGGATAGCGACTCAGTGTCAGAATGCCTCGGGGGTGTCCGTCGGAGAGTTCGTGAACGAGACCTGGAGTAAGAACGATGGCGATGATGCCTAGACCTGGGGGAAGGACGCATCTGCCCAAGTTAGAACCAAAACTGCGATATAGCGGCAACAGTTCATGTGCACCCCATGTCTGCTCAAAATTCCAACGAATCCCTGTTTTCTACAATCAGAGGGGCGGCACAGCAGAAGGCAGAAAGAAGCAAAAGCCAGCTAGCTTTACAGACTGCATATGATCGAATCATTGTATACCGATGGCCACAGCCCAAGCAACATTCATGGAAACCATGGGCCCCATCGACAAGCAGGCAAGCACTACAACGTCCACAGAAGCAGGGTGGCAGGATGACAAGAGGCATAAGGTCACACCCGCCCCACCCCGCAGTGGGCAGTACCTTCATTTGTGTGGCTTTATCTTTGTGGCTTAGTTTAACGGGAACGCCCTCAAGGCCCAAGACGGGGACAGCGTCCGCACGCAACCACCGATCTACAGTCACAAGCAGAAGCGCAGGGTTCAGAACGCGCCGGCTGTGCTGTTCTGATGGGCCTCTACCCCCAACCCCAACACATTGATGCAAAATGGGCTTGCTCCGCGGGAGAGTTCTTTAACCAAAAACAACGGGCAGGCGCCACAGCTGCTCGCCAGCAGTCGGCCAGCCCCCCCTCGCTGCCGCCAGCGCCCCACCTGTATCGGTCCCGCGAACCAGACCGGCTCCTGTATCTGCCCTTGGGCAGGGAGCGGCTCCTTCGCCTCTCGTGCTTCCTTGCGTGGGAGCGACTTCTCCGCCGCCGGTCCCCCTCCCTCCGCACGCGCTTGGGGCTCCGCGACCGCGACGGCATCCCGATCTGATCAAAGGCGAAAGCGGCAGGTGGGGGGATGGGGGGTGGCGTCCGACGGCAGCCAGGGCGCACACACCGCGCTGGGGCACGAGAGGGCCCGCGACAGCGTTGGCCCGCGAATCGCACCTACCCCCGCGCCACGATCGGCGCCCTCTGCCTCTGACGCTGCGCCCGCTGCAAGGCCTTCTTTCCCAGCAAACGGGGAGCCACACCGCGCGCACCCTTTCAAGACCGAGGCCCTCCAAGCCCCCCGCAGCGATGTCGTTGTCGTCGTCCCCCGCGGTGGGACGCCTTGGGAAAGCCCGAGGCGCCGGAAGCGCTGGCGCGCGGGAGCTTGCCGACTACCGCCGGCCCAGAACTCCCGAAAGCGCGTTTGGGCCGCAGGCGCCAAATCTGTTCAGCCCCAACTATATCGCTTGCAGGCGAGGCAAAATGGTTGGGGGCGCTGTGGGTTTGCCTCTTGCCTCTTGCCTTGTTGACCAGTCAGATGCCGTTCAAAAAATCCCCCGCATTTCATTTTGGCGGGCTGAAAAAAAAAATGCAGACAACCACCCCACCCCCCCTTCAGCTAGTACTCGGCCTACCTTCCCGTTCGCTTCGCTGGGAGTCGCGGACCGCAGGCAGCCAGGGCTTGGGCGCGTCGGGGCAGCCCGCCAAGCCGCCCTCCGCAGGTTTGTCATTGGTCGCCAGCGATCGTCGACCCTCTGTGCTGGGCCGCTGTGCACCCAGGACCAAGTTGAGGACACGTGAACGCACCGTCGGTTCGTGGATGACATTTGCATGGCAGCAGTGTTGCAGGGGTGCAAAGCGCGCGTTGCGTGGAGCACCGGTTCATCTGGCATCTTCGCGTTCACGAACCCCAGCCGGAGAGTGGCATTCCGCCCGCCATGGACCCCGTTGTGGCGGACGGCGATTGGTTGAAGGCCGAGCTCACCAAACTGCTTGGATGGGATCAATGCGTGGTGGAGGGAGTACTGGCTGCGATCGACGCGGCGGATACGCGTTGTGACGCGGACGAAATTGTTACGGTAAACGGTCACTAACAATGGGGCCCCGATTTCGACCTCCTATGGAGGATGCGGCGTCGCCTTCTGGGCCATGAGAGCAGCACCAACCTTGCTGGTGTTCATTGTCCTATTCGACATGACGCTGCGAAAGACGAAAACACGTAGATTTTGAAGTGGATACTTAGTTCTGAGTTGCTGCGCTGTCACGGTTCTATGTTCCTTGGTAACAGTTCAGGATTGAGTCAACAATCACACAGCCAGACATTCAGTTGAATCGAATCAGCAATCGAACGGGTGACCAAGCAACCTGCTGTATGTTCAGAAATTTTTGTTCCAATGGTCAATAAATGTACGAGCAATTCTGGCCCCAACCTCTGCACTATTCAGAAATGTCCAGAATTTGGAACGTGGCAAGTGTGCTCTGTTGGTGTCTTTTGCAGCAACCTCATTCCCACTTTCCTGTATGCTAGCTGAATAACTGCTTTGGGAGAAGACGGCTTCGCCACAACATTGCTAGGCTGAGCCAATGCTGCATCAGGGGGGACCTCCACTAATTTCCACGTTTAACTGCCTTGACAGTGCGCTGCACATGATTGCCGCACAGCGATGCTCAGTCTTACAGATGCACAAATGAATATTACTTGCCGTGCAGTGACACAAAATTTGCTGTGCAACACAGAACTACATGGATGACAGCAGTGCTGCTCGTTCCCTCGTCCATCGCTTCCTTGACCACAAGGCAAGGGTTTTGGAAGCAGCAGAGTCATCGGCTGGGCCACATAACTCTGATCACAAGGGAACAGGAAAGGCTTCTCACAACAGGCAGGCTGGTGGGCGCAAAGGAGAAAATGCAGGTGCAGGGCTCAGCATGGCATGTTACTTAGAGGCATCCGATGGTTCTGTAGTCTTTTCACTGTTTTACAGATTTTGTTGTGAATGGCGTTTCAGCAGATGGTGCGACTGAAATCTGAACAGCAGACTGCCAAAGAGAGAGCAAGTTCAGAAAATGGGTACAGCGTTAAAACAACATCCTAGATACGCCATTTAGGACACATTGACAATATGTTTGCTTGGCAGGAGGGAATTACATCCATGCATTGCTGTGTTATGGGTTGGCAACGTTTCAGATGGTGACATGACACTTGTCTGTGCTGATCTGTCGGTGAATAAGACAACAGAAAATAGGCTGTGCAGCACAAGTGGCGTTTGCCAACCTTCAGCCAAGGTTGTGCATCGTGTAGTATTGCATGCGATGAGTCCACACAGCCATTTGCAGCAAAGTGACAATGACACACTGGTCATGGCATATGTCCCTCCTGAATTCAGATCATCTCACAGCTTCAGTTTTTCTTGTGGCAGATGAGAGCTGCACAGTGCCTGGCGAAAAGAGCATTCTAAAAATGCATGATACAAACACACATAGTGCACAGCTTCCCAGTCAAGCCAAAAACCCCGAGAGACACACTGATGTTTGTTCAGACCTTCCCACCACCAGTATCATGCTGTGTTCCTGCATAGAAGGTGACACCACTGGCATTTGTACTTTTGTTGATTGAATTGCCTGCTTTTCTGACAAGTGGTTGTCATCGGAGCACTTGTCATCGGAGCTCCAGTTTATAACCACCTTATTAGCAGGCTCCACACAGTTCAGTGTTGACGTCTCAGCAATTCTGTTTGACGTCGGCGACATACATTCTCGTTTGATTTCACTGGCCCACAGTTGAACCAGCGGTGTGTTGCCAGCTGGGGCTGGGAAATCAGAGAGCGGGACATCCGTGCAGTCCTCGCGAAGGAATGCTGCTGGGTCCAATACACACAGCCAATCAAGGGGCGAAGGACCCAGCAGTATTGCCAAGCAGCAAAAGTCGAACAAGGGCCACGTGTCAGAGGCACCGAATGGGGCACATGTGGTGGCACCTGTGCAGTGGGCGACTTCCCAGGTGAATTCGGCCTCTTTTATTTGGTGCACACTTGCATGTAAAAGAAGTTTCTGTCTTCTCAGGGCTGCAAGCATCTCCTAGTTACGCTGTGCAGAAACAATTATATGCGTACTAACTATAGTAGCACAGAAGATGATTTCAAACGTGCTGTTCTACAATTGCGCTGTTCAGTTGTCCTGATTATATGTCCTTTGCCATACTCACAGCCTTAAAGTTCAGCCTGCCCTCTTCATGCACTTTATGTTACTGCGATTCAGTTTGCTCTTGTCCTCACAAGGTGGCTAGAGACTCATTCAGAGTAATGCCAATTTGGACAAGAACAAACTTCAAAGAACAGATGGGAAGCCACTGCCATGTCCTTTAATTCTCCCTTGTTCCGACTGCTCCAATTGTCAAATCCAGGTTTGGAGTGTGTTCCTTGTTATGCACAATTGGGTTGCGCACAAGCAATAGAAGTGGAGGCCACACATGCACACGCTTGCAGCAGGCCATTGGTGGTGACAGTCACTCTTGGGCCAAGGAAGGGAAGTGCACTGCAGTGCTGCAATGGCCGCCACTGCCTGTGGTTGAGAATGGCATGCGTTTAGAATAGTCATAGATACACAGATAATAAAAATATGATAGATATAATAATAGATATATAGATAACAATAGATGTGGGGCAAATGGCGTACCGATGTTGCGAATTTTCAGTGAATTCCGGTGATAAGAACTATGCAGCACCCCTGTCTTGGAACACACTTCCTGTGCTGTATGCCTGAGGCCATTGTTCATTTGCCATGCATGCTGTGAGACTGACAAGTTGCTGTGTGCCAAACGTGCTAATGCTCCAACACAACCACACAGGTGCCCACTTTATGCTTGTTACGGACAATTCCATACAGTGCATTGCTGTTTGCATCCTGAGCAAGGCACCCATAGGTCTTTCACACACTGCTAACACTATCAAGAATTCCCTGAAGACGAGCAGAATTCCGCACAATAGTAGACAATGCAAAAACCGCATGGGAAAGCGGAGATGGTGGCCCTGGCGGCCCCACAACAATGGCTGGCAGCCCAAACTTTGCCTTATCAGCAGTTGCACAGGACTTGGAAATCAAGAATCTTACAACATTCTGTAGCTTGCTCTGGTTGTCAGGCATCAACAGCTGCAAGTTCCGTTGCCCAGCAAGGCACCAGCAGGGGTAAGCAAGCAGGACCCAAAGGAAAAAGAAGGGGGAATGGCGGCCTTGACAAGCTCCAACTGACATTGACAGACTCCATAGAGAGGAAGGTTGCAAATTGCTTGAAGTGCGGGAAGATCTACGACTGCAGAAAAATGTCGGAGGCCATCATCAAGTTCCTTGGTGGGTTCCTGCAAGCGGGACAAGCGTCAATGGCACTGGATGTTGTGGTGAAGGTGGTGCTGCTTGCCTTCTTGCTGCCTCTGGTTCCCCCTGAACATTGTGGTGGATTCTCAAAGGCAGGCACCACACAGAAGCATTCACTGCTGCATCCTTATTGTGGTGGTTGAAATGCCCGGTGTGTGATGTGTCAGCTCCTCTCAGAACCACTGCGACACAATTAATCGAAGCAAACCTTGTGCTGGTCTTGCTGATTTGCTTTTATTGGTGTCCAGAATCGGGGGGTATCTGCTCGTTTTGTGGCAACCAGGTGACCCTGACCAGCAACGGGGAAACTGTGATGCCACAAACTGCCACTGGGAACCAACTGGTTGATCTCCAAAATAGCAAAGGAGTCTCAGCGGCTGAGGCTGGAGAAAGCAATCAAGAGGCATCGAGCAGCGTTTCTGTCTCGAAGATGGATGAGGCTGCCTCCAGAGCGGCTGAATTCAAGGATCGCCTCGTGGAATATGACAGGAATGCTGCCAAGAGGACAACAGTCATTGACGATCAAAGCGACTACTTTGAGGTGGATTCGAACGTGTGGCTTTCTGAGCAGGTACTGCAGATGTCTGCTATTTTTGTTTGATTCCAGAGGATTGCAACACGTTCCAGAGACAAGGCACCACTGCTGTCCTGACAGAAGAGATGTGGGTCAATTGTGTGCTGTTGTTGCTTTTGTCATCAACATTCTTCATGGAGTGATGTTTGACAAAGCAGCCCACTCAAAACTGTGATACATGGCAACAAGAAGCAAGGTCCTTCCATTGCGGAGCACAGCACTGTCAATCAATCTGGACGTGCTTTTTGGCCAGCTGCAAGCAGAATGCTCTTGCGATTTCTGGCTCATGTCAGCACCTGAAGAATAATACATCGTCTTGACTGCTGGCATACAAGTCCAAAACATTGCTCCACTGTGAAAAGCCTGCGATCTGGAATAGGGACAAAGCTTGTAGGCTCTGGTTAGAACTGGACCCACACTTACTTGGTGCAAGTGTTGTTGGTGAGACTGGCATCTAAGACAGATGTTACCATCCATGATCAGGAACGCAGGGACCTGCGCCAGCGCCTGGATCGGGAGCAAGAGCTGGAGAATTCACGGAGGAGAAACGTGCGCTACACAATCGACATTGTGGGTCGGAAAGTACTAATTGCTGAAGAGAGCAAGCCTTCCCAGGATGCTCAAACTGCATCTGAGGCGGCTTCTAGGGCTGCAGAGGCCACGCTGCAAGAAGCACCGCAGGGTGGGGGAGCAGCTGCAGCTGCAGCGCTCGACACTGCGGCCAGGGCTGGCACAGCGAGCGTTCCATCTGTCACCACCTCTGGCACTGCCCCAGCTTTGAGGGATCTCCGAGCAGGCCCCAACCCCAATCTCCCCATGCCCGCTCCCCTTTTCCTTCCCAGGCATCAAGACGCTCAAAATGGCGCCAAGGCAAGGGGGTCGCAAACGCAGTCCAGGGGAACCCGACCAGGTGGCGGTTGGCGTGTGCCAAGCAGTGGACGGCTGCAGCATGATGACATTTTCGCTGATTTTGAACAGGAGACTGCCGTTGAGGTGCTGTATGACAACCTAGGCCAGGTCCCTGAGTTGCAGGCTCCAGAGGCGCCCTTCAACCTGTGCCCACCTCGAGCAGATGATGCCTATCTGCCAGAAGTTGTGCGCCCTGTGTCTGCAGCACCCCAGCAGTCCATCAACGCGAAGCTCAGGAGTGTGTTGATGCCATCATCGCAAAAGGACTCATCGCCTTTCTCTGGACCCCCACCGAAGCTTGTCCCCCTTGATCAGCTGCCCGACGGCATGGCGCTGCTCAGAGGCTGGCTGGACGTTGACACTCAGGTCAAAATTGTCCAGTGTTTTCATAAGCTGGGGATGGGTGAGGGGGGCTTCTACACTCCCACATATGCTGGCGGTGCAGAGTTGCATGTTCGGATGATGTGCTTGGGCAAGCACTGGGATCTCAGGGACCGTGTTTATTCCGATGTACGGTCAATTGATGGCTCAAGGATTCCACCGATTCCTCCCTGGCTGGCAAAGCTTGTTGCAGATTGCCTGTCTGATGCATCAGCAGCCAGGAAGCAGGCCTTCCCCAAGATGGAGACCAATGTTGCTATTGCTAACTTTTACGCAAGCGATGGGTACCTTGGGTTGCATCAGGTGAGTCTCTGATGATGAGTAGAGTGCTTGATTGTCTCTCAATGGAAAGGGTGTTTCGACGCCCACAGGCTGAGCACATCTACTTGATGGTCAGTAAATTCAAAGAAACGATGAATTGATTGTGAGCTTGCAGGCAGCGAGTTTTGAGGCTGTGATTTGTGTCGATATCTTCTGAAAAGCAGTGTCTATCAGGATGTCATATTTTGCACTGATCCCGCAGCAGTAGTTAAGTAGTTGAGCAGTTCAAGATTGAGGATGGCCTGGCCTGTTGCAGTGTTTGTGCTCAGCAGCAGTGCACCTTGCCTCCCCTTGTCTGAGAATTTGTGAAACGACAATTCAGGACAAAGAGGAAGGGAGGAGAAGCTGCCGTGCTGGGGTTCCAGTGGTGTCATTTTCGATTGGGGCGTCGGCTGACTTCGTGTTCAACAACGTGCAAAGCATGCAGGGAGCCTCGTACGTCGAGCTTCAGTCTGGGGATGCGTTGGTGTTTGGTGGACCCAGCAGGATGATCTATCACGGCGTTTCAAAGGTGTACCCCGAGAGGACGTGTGAGGAGGTTGTGAGGAGAACCGGCCTGCTTAGTGGGAGGTTGAATTTGACATTTAGGCAGTACATTCCTGACGACGAGGCCTAGATGTGTCAGACAGATGCCTTTCCTGTGCCTGTGATACCTTCTTGGATTCTTTAAACGAGATGGCTTTTGATTGTAAGACCATGGTGCACTTGTGTGTTTGTTGGAAAAGTGGGTATCCGCAGTGAATCACGAGTTTATACTCATGCTAGCATTTGGGTGGCTGCCATCCCGTCCACAGGAGACTTTCAATCTTCTTGGGGATTCCTATCCTGTGATGACTGATTGTGAACCTGGTGGGGTGTGGGCACATTTTTTGGATGGCCGCAGCACACACAATGCACAGCCAAAAACGGTGGCTTCTGCCATTGAAGGTCGCAGACAGACCTGAATTACAAGAATCCAATCCCACGCGCAAGCCTGGCCCAGGTCTGTGCGCCCCATGCACTGGAAGACAGACCGCGGGAGTTTCCACGTCTCCGCTGGGCTGGCAAGATCAACATTTCGGTACCAGCCGCTCCCCGACGCCAGTGACTGCAGCCGCGCCGCTCTCCGTGTTCGAACAGCCGCAACAGCACTCTCAGGTGCACTGGCGCGACATTCGACGCTTCTGACGCGCCATTCCTCACCAGAGGCGGCCTCTCCCCTTCGCACCAACAAACTGCACATTTCCCCGCAACTGCAATATTCTTCACGCCGAGGCGCCCACATTCTGCCGAGCACCGCGCCCTGAATTCGGGAAGGCACGCGGCGACGGCGCGTCCGCCATTCGCACGTCTGGCCTGCCGTGGCGCAGCACCGCCCCGGGGCCCGTTCGTACAGCCACCCACCACCCCGCAGCCCCCGCGTCACCATTTGCCCCCCACGTTGCCAATATTACCAAATGCTGGCGGAGGCGATGCTCGCCACAGTCGGGCGAGCGCGCCCGTTGCCCAAATTCCTGCCGGGCGCAGTGGTGCCGCACCTGCACCCGCCATCGGGCGTCGGACGGCCGAAGCTTCCGACCACCCGGTCTGCCGCGCGCCTGGCGGCGCCGCGAACCGACCCCCCCCGCCCCACCCCTCCCCTTTGTCACCCCCAGCCTCCCGGCACCTTCGGTTGTAGTTGCCACCGGTGTACCGTACGCCTTCCGGACGACTCCCAGCCCCTCCTTGAGTCGTTGTGATCACATTTTGGTGAGAGGGGGGGGGGGGCAAGCAGGCCGCCTGGCGCCGCGGCCGCCCTCCGGCCGCCCCCACTATTTCATTCTCCTCTTCGCCGTCCAGTTCGCGCACTGTGGCCTCGGCTGAAAGTCCTTAAGCCGGCGCGCGTGCTGCGGCGTGGCAGCAGGGGCTGCGGAGAAGGGCTCGAGGGCACCGTACGGGCGAAGCGGGGAAGGGGTGTCGTACACGGAGGGGAGAGAGCCGAGTCCTAAGCGTCCGGGGATCGGCGGACGAGTCAGGGGAACGAGAGGCGAAGTCATGGCCATGGCAGCCGGGAGAGGCCACAGGTCGCGGAGGAAGTGCGGTCCGCCCTTGCCCAGGTCGATAGGGGCGCTGGAATGGCGGCACCTGCGGGAGGGGCGGGGGCGTGCGGGTCGGAAGAGCGAGTTCTGGGGCCCCGAGGCGTGCGCGGGGGTGATGCCCGGCGGGGGTGTGCCCGCCGCGGCGTGGGACATGGAGACGCTCAAGGCGGCGGTGCTGCACGCCAGCGCCGGCACGGGCAAGGTGGAGGAGGCGATAAAGGGCTGCACGTTCAGGTGGGGGGTCGGGGCGGGGGGGGGTCCGGGGCGCCCGCGCCGGTCAGCCTGCGCGGGGCGCAGGTGATCTGACATGGATCTCTGGTGGTCGCAGGCCCCGGGAGCAGGCCTTCACGACGCTCATCGACCTGTGCGGCCGCATGCGCGACTGGAAGAAGGCCAAGGAAGTGTTCGACGCCATGAAGGGCATGAGGAGCGTCCGGCCCAACACGTACACGTACAGGTGAGCAGCTGCCTCGCGGATCTGGCCTCGCGTTATCGCGACGGCTCCCCTGGTCGCCCTGCGCCTTGCGCGCGCCCGCCCGTGTTCCTTCTCCCTTGCAGCCGCCCGCCCCGCCTCCCAGGACGCGGCGACCTGTCACAGCACTGTCACGGCACTGCACCGCCCCCATTGCCCAAACTGTTTCTCCCCTTCTGCACGGCACCCCCAGCCTTCCACCCGTGCCACGCGCACGGGGAGCCACCCGCAAAACTAAGCGCGCTCCCGCTGACCCGGCCCTGGCCCCGTGTGCCTGCAGCGCCCTGATCAGCGCCTGCTCCAGCTCGGGCGAGTGGTCCCAGGCGCTGGGTGTCTTCGAGGAGATGAAGCGCGCCGCCAAGAGCGACCCAAGCTGCAAGCCCAACCAGGTCACCTTCGGCGCGCTGATCACGGCCTGCGAGCGCGGCGGCATGTTCGACGCCGCCCTCCGCCTCTACGAGGAGATGCAGGCCTGCGGCATCTCCCCCGACCATGCGACCTTCACCTCCGTGCTGGGCGCCTGCGAAGGCTCGCGCCAGTGGCAGCGCGCGGAGGGCATACTGGACCAGATGCACTCGCGGGGATTCACTGGCCCTCCCAGCCTGTACACCGAGCTCATAGCAAATTGCGCCGGGTGGGAAAAGGCGCTGGAGCTGTTCCTCACAATGCAGGCGGCCGGATGCGACGTGGACGCCCACACGTGCCGCGCGCTGATGGCGTCCCTGGAGGCCGGGGGGATGTGGGCGATGGCAATGGATCTGCTGGGCAGCATGCAGGAGGCGGACATACCGATCGACCTGGAGACCTACAACATCGCGCTCAAGGCGCTTGCCAAGGTGGGCCGCTGCGACGAGATGCTGGAGGTGCTGGGCCGCATACGGGAGGCCACGCTGGAGCCCGACGAGACGACGCGGGAGTGGGTGGAGTTTGCCTGCCGGGTGAGGCGGGACTCGGGGCGGGCCAGGCAGCTGCGGGCGCAGGTGGGCAAGCTCCAGCCAGTTGCGTGAGGGCGGGCCGGGGTGGGGAGATTGGGGATTTGGGGAGCAGCGGATAGAGCCTGTTCGAACGCCTTGTCTGCTGCTGAATTAATGGCGATGATGAACGCAGAGGTTGCGGGGACGGACAACAGCCCAGTGGTGGGATTGTGGCAATTTTTTGGGTTCTCGTGGAGAAGTCATGGACACTGCTTTGTTCGCGCGAAACAGGCAGCTGAAGGTTACCTCCTCGCCTGGATGTGCGAGATTTCTTGATGGCTGGCACAGTGCTGGTCATTTTGCGGTGAATTGAACGGGAGGCAGCGCAACAAAGGACACGGCGTGGGGTACAGGCCGGGTCTCCGAACCTTGGAGAGGGAACCGGAGAGGGTGTAGCCTTTTAGCTTCGATTGCCTGAGCGCTGGACAGTGGCCTCCCTTGTCCGGAGTCCACCCCACCCAGACGCTGCATGGCAACGGACAGAAAATAAGCAGTGGGCTGGTTTTGGCATTGGAATGCGCCTCGCTGGCAATATTGGGTAGCTTGGGAGTTACGACTGGGAATCGTGTCGGCCGTTGTGATGCCTGAATGTCGTGTATCTGAAAAGACGGTGACCTTGGGACCGTTTTGGAGGGGGAAATGGGCAGAGGCTGCGACTGCAAGGGAATGCCGTCACTGTGGGGCTGGCTCTCCGCTGATAGCAATGTTAGGGGCTTCTGCTGTTTTCGGGCGTTGTACAACAGCTGTAGTGTATATCGTGTCAACAGTGCAGCAGCTGCAGTGTGTAGTTCCTTGTGGCAACATTCTGGCTTTGCAATGCCCATCGTGCCCGTGTGAGCCTGCCAAGATCCCGCGTCTGGCGCAACGGCTGGCACCCGGTCGCCTTGCAGGCCACTGCGCTCAACTACCTGGGCCCATTCGACAACAAACGCTGTACCGCGCCCCTGGGCATACATGCCTCCGTGTGTAACCACAACCCCACCTGGGGCTCACAACTACCTGCCGCAAATTTGTGGCCGCTCGTTTAGCCACACGCATGTCGCAGGATCCATGGGTCGAGTGCTCAGTGGCTGAGATGCTGATCAACGGTCGCTGACTGCAAGGGTGACATGTGTGGCGCAACAGTCGTCATCACCAACAGCATCGCGCGCGTGGAACTGCGGTTTGTGACAGAAACACCCTCATCATAATGCAGGTTCCCTTCTTGGAAGACTGCACGTTTCAAACTTGCTGAGCCTGCGGCCTGCGGCAGTACCCGCAAGCCCCAAGTTGCAAGTCGAAAGTGGAGCTGTTCCGCCCATCTCCTGTACAGGCGACGGCGGCAAAAGCAATTCATGTGCTGCGGTACCCACATCGCCACAACAAACTGCAACATGCCATGTTCATGCACGCACCTACATTCGCAAAATCGCAATCTGGCATAATTCCATCCTATCCTCCCGGACAATGTGACAAGTCGGTCTGCGGCGGAGTCGCATGCGCAAGAACAGCTCCCACTGCAGGTGTTGCTCGACGAACGCAGGGCTCTTGCGCCCCCAGAGTTGCACGTCCAGCTCCCCGCCCCTCATCTCTACTACTTGGTACATGCTCTATCCCCTCACCAGAAAAAACAATGTCCCGCCCACTGTTGCCGCTAAATCCAACATCAATCATGACCACCAGCTCTAATTTACAGGTAATAGAAACAGTGCACTCGAGAGCGGGCGCTTCCAGGTGTCGATGAACAGGCCATCACCAATGCATGTCCCTGGACCTCATCCGTGCCGGTCCTGCTTCCATTTCTGTCATGCACTTCCCGTTGTGCCGCTGGTGCAGTCACACGCCCCTCCGCCCAACCAACGAGGCCACAGCCATGCGGCTGTCAATGTACCCTCGCGATTCAGTTCACGGCTGGTGCACGATCACCCGCTCAAAAATAACTTCTGCCTGCGAGCTATCTCCTTCCTATGGAGCAGCAGTAGCAGCAGCACAGGGCAACCCACATAAGTCCGTGCACACGAGAAGCACAAGGGCAACTATGGCCTGCAATGGCAGTGTCCGCTCTGTCCCTTGCAATCAAACTGTCGCTAGAAGGCAGGAAACCAGAAAACAGGACTGACAATGGCAGAAATTGAGCAGTCAGGCCTGTAATGGGGCGAAAAGGATCCACAACCACCAGCAGCACAGCTCCCAGTACACAACAAGCCCAGCACAGGATGAACGCATTCCCCACTACAGGGTCGCACTGAGTGCCAATACAAATCTGCTGGCGAGCCTTAAAGATCATCACATCAAAGAAGCAATCGGTTGCATATGCTTACAACATATTAGCATGTGCTGGAGAGGTGCAACAGATCACGGACTAAAGCCCCCCTGCCTGCCCCTCCTTCCCCATGGGAGAAGGGAAATTGCAGCACCGCCGCATACCTGGAGTAATCTTGTGTCCATAGCATTGACATTGCAAGCGTCGAGATGTTATATTGTGTGAGGGCCCTTTGCATTATTATTCATCTAGTACTGAAACAAATCGTAACCTCTGTGCTGTCTTACGTAACCACCATGCTCCACAACACAGGCCATGTTCAATAACAAAGGGAAGAGGAGGGGAGGATAAGGCTCCCCGCACTATAAATTGTGACTCATGATAGGTACATTGCCAGCATTTTTGTCACGTTGGCCACGCCAAATGCAAATGGTGGACGGTTTCAGGAGCTCAATCTGAGCAAACGACAGATCTCACTATGGTTTTGAATGCCGCCCACCTGCAGAAGGGACATCTCTGAAGTTTTCTTGAGCATCTCCTGCATAAATTGCTGTGGCCACAAGGGACAAGGGCGACCTGCACAGGTCTCATCATGCACACAGAGCACATCACAGTGTTCAACGGGCTACTTTCGCTATTGAAGGGCAAGGTTTTCATCAAACCTTCCTCCTCTGTGAGGTCATCCCCTGTCTTCTGCAAATCCTCCTGTTCAGGGGCCTCCTCGACCTTAACCAAGGGCACACATGTTGAAGTCAGTTTCTTACACTCACCAATTTCATGTTCTCACACCTCGTTATGCATGCTGCACAGTGTTATGTGTTCTGGCCATGGTAGACTTTTACATCTTCTTCCAACAGTTGCAACAGAGTCGCACAATCTTCCGCTGAGGAGAGTGTGCATTGCATGGCAAGTTAACGGTGAATCTTGCTTGACTATTTTTCTGATTTCAGCGAATCTTCTCTCTGGACATGCAGGTCCAGCTGGACACTGCTGGCATGTACGATGGTGACATGACACTCCTCTGTGCTTAAATACCAATCGGTGAGAGAAGAACACACTGGCACAAAATGCTCACAAACAACCATACACCTCCACCCACCAGGTTTCGCTCCCTACACAGCACCCCAGCCAATCCCAGTCCTGAGCAGGTTAAGAGTCTGCCCTCCACAACCATGCTCGATTCACATAGATAATGCCATGTGGCAAATGGCCCAGACCTGGGGTGTTATTTGATGCTTGGGCTCACCTCAATCTCTTGTGAGGCTCTTGCAGGTTCCTGATCTCCCTGCTCCTGGTTCGTCCGTGGCCCTGGCCTGCGCACAGTATGCTCAGGCAACCCTGTCACACAGGGGTAAATAACCAAGATGTCAGACAGGAGCACCACGGAACAGCTCAAGCTGCATGTTATGAGTGGCCTGAGCGCTGTGGAATCAGCTGATGGGCGAAACGACAATCATGTATCATGTTCTTGTTACAAAATCCCTGCGAATCTAGGGATAAGCACCACGCGGAGTGCTCCCTTGAACAAATACGAGATATCACAGATCACCAAAGCACGTGTCTGATTCCCCCCATCGTTTCCTGCAGGACACTTTTTGAGCCTCCCTTCCAGGGAGGAAGATGTGCAAATGATACAATTTGGGATGAGTGGGCTTTGATGCACGTGCAATGGCAACTTTTTCACCAACCTGCTCGCAAGGGTACATTCATTCGTTTTGGAGGGGGCAGCAATCTCGCTCTTACACTCAAGCAGTGAGAGGTGGACAGCACAGTGCACTGTCAACCTCAACCTCTATGCATCCACCCCTTTTTCTAATCAACAGGTGGAATAGAGACCACGGAAATCCAAACTGAAGAAGGTGGCCAGACGATCCTTAAATATAAGAAAGCAATCTGCTATACCGCAGGTGCCTCCATCCCTATCGAAGAATCACAATTCTTTCCACCCTAAGTCGGAGGATTTAAATTCGTCCGAATGCAGGGAAGCACACAGCAGCAAATAACAGTGTGCTAAGTCATTGCCCGGCACTGTCCTGCTGTGGTGACAAAATACACATATATTCCATTCGTTGTGGTGGTGGCATCCAAGCTCTTCATTGCAATGCTGAACAGTAGAATGAACAAAGGGAATAAAATCAGTCAATTGCGCACAGAGAATAGGCCAGCACCTCCATCTAGTGGCATTGGTGATATCCCATGCTGTGGGACAGAATCTTCACCCTGTTCATCGGCCTGTTGTCCTGCATCTTCCACAGATGCCACCTCCAGGGAGGCCACACTGATGGTCGTCACAGATCGGCGGCTTGCCGACGACGCTGATGTGTATGAGCTGTCCTCCCCACCCGCACTGCCTTCCATGTCAACCCAATGCAGCAGTGACTCGTCATGGTCATGGCGGTGGGGTGATCGATCCGCTGCGGGCACAGCAGACAGATCCAACCAGGTCAGACCATGTGAAAGTCCGCAAGAAAGCCCAAAGGCACCATCCAATTCTAAATTGGCAAAAGATAATGATGGTACTGCTGTTTTCAATAATAAAAGGTACGCAGCACAAGCGCAAGAACGAGCCCCAATGGAGGGTATCTTGACTGTACTGAGCCCCATGCCTTGCGAGTCTGTGTGGAACGCAACTGAACTCAAATTTTGCAAGCTTCTTCACTTATCTGCGCCATCATCGAATGAGAGAAAGCAACCTGCTGAAGAGACTTTGATGGCCACTCCACAAGCGCAGTCACCAAGAAATTTTAAACTAATCAGTGGCAGGGTTCTCACCCCATTCTGCTCTCTGGATCATCCAGAAGGTTGCAAACAGGCCAGTGAATGCACACATGAACCCGATGACGCCCAGCCACCAGAACGACTGCCACCACTGGTCACTGCCTGCATTGTGGCCACTCGATTCGCTGCAGTCTGCACCTGCCCACCCTGATCGGCACATGCACGTGCCTGCAATGCAGACACCCTTGCCTGCACAGCCACAAAGCCACATTCAAATATTAAAGCAACACCAGCAAAGAATTCCTAAGAATGTACAGGTAAACAAAAGGAAATGGAGAATGATTGAATGTAAGGTCAGAAAACAGCACAAAAATACAGTCGTGCTGTAGCACACCAGCCATGTCATACGTAGTTATTGAACAACGGGCAGAAAGACAAAAGTATTGGGGACCTGAATTAGAAGGGTACACACTGTCGCACATGCATGGGCACACCATTCAAGCATCCATGGCCCAAACTGTAAACTGGAAAGACAAGCTGTAAACATCAAACTACAAACTGTACAAACTGCATATGGTCGCTGGACTCAGGACCGTGCTCTCACTTTATTCTAATGATACCCATCCAGTTCGACTAAGTGGAATACATTCATGCGTTTAGACATTAAATCTCAATTCTTGTCCTGCAGTCTCATGGACAGTGGTAACCTTGTCGACGTTTGACACACGTCCTGCACACAGACTGCCAAGCCTCAACCAAAACTGCTCTGCATATGGCTGTGGGCTGATCTGTCCTTTGATGATTACAGCTCATGCAGAATGGCATGTGGACCACCACTCACCACTGCAGTGGTTCATGTCGGTGCATTGCGACATGTTGTAAGGTGCCGCTCCTATGCAGAGCTTGCAGCAACGTGTTGGGGCGAAGGGAATAATCTGGCCCTCGCTCTGCCTGTGAGCCGTCACAAACGAGCTCAGATAGCAAAGACTGGGAAAGACGTGGAGCAATTTTGAGACACAGAAAGACAGACTCAGAATGAAGGGGGCTAAAAGGCTAACAGGGCCACAGGAGAGCTGACAGGAGAGTGTTGCTGCTTGTGAACGAGCCAAGCTTGGGACTATGCACAAGCACAAGCTTACAAAATAAATCGCTGTCTGCCCAGAATATGACAGGGCACTTGGCACCTCACCAGCCATGGTATCCCAGGAGAAACCTGTCCGTTGTCTTTTCGCCACACTGGATGTCTTCCATGCTTGAGATGCAGTCACAGCGAAACAGTTCCCAGGCCTGCCCATTTGACATCAGCAAAACTGGAGTGCAGCAGACAGGGGGATTGACTGGGTAGTACTTATTGGGCTTATATTCGGGGTGATCTGCATCTGCAAGAACACAGAGATATGGTGAGAATCACAACAGCAAAGCAGTGGGGTGGGGCATTGATGCACCATAAATGTGCACTGAGTGCATGCATCAAAACAAAATATGGGAGATCCCTGCCTCAACTTTGCTGCTGGCCTGATGTCAAAATTGGTCACACTTCACTGGCAAGGTCACCACGAATGTGCCGCAACAGGGCCACATTCTGCGAGTCGTCAGTCAGATGGAGAAGGCAACATCACTTGGATACCAAAGGCCAACCAAGCCAGAGAATGCCTCTCGCCATTGTCCCTGCAATATGCACGCAGGACAGCACCATTTCTCACCAACGAAGGCAGCAACAAGGCTTCGGTCCCCCACGCTTCCCTCTTCACATTCCATGCTCCGCGACCTGTGGCAACCAACTGAGATGATGGCCTCTGGAACGGCATCCAGGGGCAAGATGGCCTTGGCTGCAGGAGGAAGCTGCGCAGCTGTGGGCAGCGACGCATTGCAGCATATGGCCTTCGCTTCTGGCACAGGATACTTTTCTTGTTCGAACATGTCGTCGGTTTTCTGGTTCAAAGCACAAGGGCCTTCAGCACTTGCTGCAGGAACACCAAATGCAGCCAGTCCACAAGGGCACCAGCACAGCCACAGCCAGTCCCTTCGACATGCAGATCACTATGGCTGCAGTGCAGCTCAGTACGTGACATGAAGCTAGACAGAAACTGCACTCCCAGCACTTCAGGATCAAGCGGCTCTTGGCAAGAGCTTCTCACCCAATAGACAGTGCCCTGAAACCCTGAGATGAAGAAACCCTCCCTGCTGCAGCTGATGCCCATCTTAGTTGCACTGGGGTGGCAACTGTCGATGGCAAGGGAAGTTGCTGGATTGTCTTCTGCGCACATGCCACACCACAGCAGTGACAATGCACACACCAAGGACCATTGAGAAAATCCTGACCTGTGCAAGCTAAACACCAAGGGCCTGAAATGCAAAGTTCCATATACATACAAGTACAAGACTTCCAGCACACAACGCCAATATCCAGCAGATCCTGGGTGTTGCGCCCTGTGGTACTTGTATATATACTAATTCCCGTGGCACACATCGTTTTCCACCCGCAGTGATCACAAACTGATCCCAGAAACACATCCAGAGGGCAAGGAGAATCTTGGGTCGTCACATGTCCTCAGAAACAATCATGCCACAGCAGCTATTAACGATAAGGCGCAGGAGAGGGCGATGCCCAGCACATGAACATCTGCTTGGGGCCCTGTCCTTTTCTGCGGGCCTATTGGAGACAATCTGAGAGGCCAGTGTCTTGCATAAGTTTATCTCTGTCACATTCGTCCAAATTATGACACAGCCCATGCATCAGGCAGGCATTGTTGAGCACTGCTTGTACACACAAAAGGCGTTCCTTGCAGTGTGGTGCTGGTTCCAAACAGAGGTCTGAAATACTACTTACGCGACACAAGAGATAAGAACATATAATTTTCCACAATTATTAGGATGTGAAAGTGCAGCGGTGGCATTCCATGCAGTAGAAATTAGGGGCTACCACGGTCACTGTGCTGGAGATATCCATGGTGCTGCAGATTCTCTGAGGCCAATGATATGCAGCGTGTATGCCGACCAAACTGGTGGCCCAGGACACATGTTGCCACCTGCCCTGCTTGTCTAACTGCTTCACAATAGGGACCATATGGGAGGACTTTAGTCCTGCGCCCAGGCCCGTCGCTTGAGTCCCTTTGGAGGCAGGTAGCTGCAGCAATTGCAAAGGACAGAGTACCCACCAGGTGCAAACTTCGGTTCTGATCCAGTGTACAACCCTCCAGCACTCATCTCTTGCACAACGCCTGCACTGTTGGCGCTGACAGTGTCTAAAGAAATAAGACATAGGGTTGCCAAGAGCGTCACTCGCCTGGCCCAGGCCATGTTAGGGGTTTCAGCCCCTGACTCTGCCGTGGCCATGCCTGCAGCATAAACAGGCACATCGCAAAGCCAAACCTGAGTGGGTGAAAATACACACAAGAACAGGGCACATCAAGGGGTGAGGGTGGAAGGCGACGGACAACCCACGCTAAAAATGCCCTTGGCCGGTTCCCACCCCTCTTGCACCACACATCGAAAGTGCTAGCCCTGGATGGTGGACACACATAACGCTGCCAACGCATCCCCGAAACTTGCTGCACCATCTCCCGCAGCAACTCCGCACCGCCTCCGGAAGCTGACAAAAACTTCGTCGGCAGCACGCAATCCGACAACAGTGCAGAAGAGGGATAGCAAAACGAGCCATGGCCAAGCTCCAGACCACGAAACCCGCCACACACCACGGCCCACACCCCACATCACACGACCAATCACACCGGTGCACAGCCTAGCGGCGGTGCCTGCCTCATTCCCAGCGCCTTCGCTTCCCGCGCTGCCCATCTCCGTCCGCCATCGAAGCTTACGGCGCGGACCGCCGAATGGTCCGTTGCTCCTGCCGGAGGGGGGGGTGCCCACGGAGTCCGCCACCATCGTCGCCAGCACTCCGGCATTTCCCAACCGTCCTGCCTTCCCCGATCTTCCGCAGGCGCCCAGATGCGCACCCAGGCGTTGCCCCGGCGGGGCAACCGCCGACGACTCACGCCATCACTTGCATGTCTCGCTCGGCCAAACGCCAGCGCCAAGATTTCGACGCAAACGATCCGCCATCGCCGACGCGCGCAGCGAGGCCTCCCCCCTTCCATCCACCCCAAGGCCACGCGCCGCGCCGCGACACCAGCCCGTCTCTCGGATGCTCCCCGTGACCGCACCACAGGCCCCTACTCCCAAGCCATCGCCCCGTCCACCACCGCCACGACCCCCCGAGATGCCTGTCCCCTGCTCCCAACCCCCACCCCACCCCCCTCCGCCTCCTCGCAGCGTTTGACCGCCCCACGCCGGTCGCCATTACTCACCAGCTTTCATCTCACCGCCGCGACCACAGCGCTGTCCCGGATGCGAGCGCAAGACGGGCAGAGCAGAGCGCCCAGCCGCCCGCGGCCTGCGCCCAAGGCACGAGGCAAGGGCCGCTGGCCGCCAACCCCGGCAGGAGCAGGGAGCCGCAGCGCCGGCGGGCGGGCCCTGTCCGACGCGCTCCCCGGGAGGAGAAGACGGGCCCCGAAAGGTCACTAATACGGGGGACCACGTGGGCCTGGGGCGGATTGGGCCGGCCCGGCGGGCTGTTTCTGCGGCGGTATGGCGCCTTTTGTGCGGGCCAATGTGAAACGGGGCGTCACGGGGCGCACTGTGGCGTCGACGGAAGCGGCGCCGCATCGACGCGGATGCGACACAGGCAGCTGCGGGTACCTGCTCTTGGCTCCGTGCTGCTTTGCCACACCCGACGCGGTCGCGGAAATTTTTGTTACTGAGAGAAAGAAACAGGTCGCACACAAAGGGCACCCCACTCCTGAGCGAGTGCACGCGAGGCTCTTTTCCATGCTGTGGAAAGGTGATACGCAGCCTCCAATGCGGAAAGATGAGCACACTACACAAGCAACTCCACAGGCAAGAAGACACGCACCCAGGGGGCGTGGAGCCGGACTGGATTCTTGAGGCATTGGCAGGATACCTTGACGACCTGCAATTATGGATATCGGCGATTGATGCCGGAACAGTGTCCAAAAACCTTGCACAAAATCTTCATGACTTCTGTATGGGCAGAAGGCTAGGACCAGGAGTCCCTGACGCTGTGCTGTCGTTGGCATTATGCGGCATCCTCAGGTGCTGCTAAGGGTGGGGGTAAGGACTTGCATCCGTCATTGCCAACCCTTTGAAAGCGGCTGGCACTATGAAAAGTTAGGATGTGAGGTTAGCGTTTGGGGATGGGGTGTGAGTGAGGGGAATTGGCCCTGATGTAGCGTTTTGAGACTGAGGGCTAAGCGTATCATAAGTACAAACATGTCCTCCCTTGCATCCCAAAATTTTTGCAGCGGTCGCCACCAACTTCGTACTTTCCGAATGTACACAAAGTTCACATGAAGTTGCTAACAAGATCCACGAGGATGAGTGCCAACTGTGCCAAGTAAATGCAACGCTCGATGACGCATCCGATTCGTTTCAAACATCGGATGACAGTGAACACAGTCTAACCACATAAGCCTCGCATTTGCTGATATGCTAATCATTTCCATGCTTTCCACAATCCTTCAACACACATGCTGGTTCCAGAAGATGCAACCAAACGTTTCAATTTTCAACGGCGCTGCAACGGCAGCCACGATAAGCCCGCAGTGCCAGGTCCCTCGCTGAAGAAAATGAACCAACCTGCCCTGTCGATCCCCCACCATGCCCCAGGAAGATCTTTGCCAACCACTCCAAGGGCGAAATTCCCTCCAAGGGTTCAGCCACACTGTCAAGTGCCTTTTCTGGACGCTAAGCTGGCATATCCTGACCCTGAAACGCTTCGCAGCGTCTACATCTGTGCACGGGCCCCTTGGAGGCGACATCAATGGCTCAAAGAGCAGCGAACCAACATTTTCAGAGCTTCTGGAGCGTCTTTTGTCGTCAAAATAGCACCCAGGCCATCAAACTACATTTTCATGCACAGTGGACATGACCAGCATCAAAAGTTGTCTGTCACTGTCGTCACACCCGCAGTCCCAACAGACTCCTTCCCTTTATTCTGCGCAGACCAGGGGACTCTATCTGCATGCCTTCTTGCTATAATTGTCCTCGAGATAGCTCTCCACAAACAACCTCCTGTACTTGCTCTCCACCCGCCACACCATGGCCGTCGGGATTAGGAACATCATGATGAACTGCATGACCAGGGAAAGGGCCATCACCTCCGTTCTCGAGCACTCTGGCAGTGTTTCCCCCTTGTCCTCCTTGCAGGCAAGGTAACTGTTGAAGCCCACAGCAGCAAGCACGAAGAGCTGCGTCAGCATGTGCCATTGCAGTACCACCTGGGACCCCACGGCGTACATCCCATGAACGATCGACAGGTTGACGATAAGCGTCCTGCTGAAGAAGGTGGCCGCCCTGTGGCTGATTCCCAGCATAAGGCCAGGAGCTGTGTAGTTGTAGAGGACGAATGAGGATGCCCGCAGAACGCGCGCAGCAATCATGAACATGGTCCTCAGCTTGACATAGGACTTGCGTGATATGCCCATGGCCACCAGGGGGGCCGCAGTGGAGACCAGGGCCCCCATTGTGAAGAGGAAGGCCAGATGGGATGGGAATCCGAGCTGGAAGCAGCGCACCACGACCGTTTGCATGAGTATCAGCGACACCACCAAATGGACGGCATCCATGTCGATCATTCGAGTGCCCTGCAACAGGAGGGAGCACACAGAGCAACCGTTTTCCACACATCGTCTTGCACACAATGTTTCCAGGCATTCATTGCAATCGAACACATTCATGGCTGCCTTTGTCAGCAGCGGGCCTTGTCGTTGCACAAACCAATGTTGACAATGGGTCGTTGCTATGCACGCTGTCTGGTGCAGGCCTGCAGATCTTGGCAGCTGGGAGCATGGGGCAAGGGTTGTTCGTCATTCACTCGGTGCATTCCGATCTTCTGCCACGTCAATGAGGATTGCTACTAGCCTACTCCAGTACCTATTGCATCCAGGGTGGAGTGCTTCAAAGCATTTTCTCTGAGTAGATTTGGGCATGGTTGATAAGATGAACATTAAATAACCCGAGAGACAATGCCCAATCAAGCATTCTCCGAACACCGATTTCCTTGGATGCCTGTTCCCAAGGGCCGATCATCAGCCAAGAATCAAGAACATAAGGTGCTTATACAGTGCAGAGGATCCAAGGGCACAGACGTAGTGGTGCGCAGGCTTGTTATTTATGTTTGCGTTTAGGTGCTTACGTTTACGGTTTTACACGTGAAAACGTAAATTTGCAAAAGAAGTTGTTTTTACGTTATTACGGCTCGTTGTGACACCCAGGCTACATGATAGAAGTTGCGTACAGTGATCAGCACCCCGTCCCCTTGAGCGCCCGCAACACATCGTCCACTTCTCACTCGGCGAGGGCCACGATAGAGTGGAACAAAATTCGTTTTCTGCCCATTCCAATGCGTCTTGATGCCATTCCCCGGAATCCTGAAGGCTGTATGCACTGTCCTTATGTACACGGGGCTGTTTTTACGTCATACTTACGCGTTTTTACGCGGAAGAACGTAAAAACTATTTTACGTGTGAAACGTAATTACGATCTGCGTTTACGGCGTAAATAACAGGACTGGTGGTGCGAGAGCATTGGCTATGTGTCCATCAAATTGGCAAATGGCAACTATCCATGATCTGAAAGGCACCACAGACTGTGAGCCTGGAGACACTAATGGCTCTACCCCTTCCACAATCCCCAGAAAAACAAAGAACAGAAACGATAAATCGGGGGTACGGATGATTAGACCAGGAAGGCCACGAATTCCAGGTGCCTGGAAGGTTGGCGCTCTCCAGCAGCGTCGTTCTGCTGAAGCGTTCATGTGCAGGACTTCCGACACATGCAGCCAATAGGGGACGCCAAGGCCCCCTGCCAATATCCGTGGGAGCTCAGCCAAGCTCTTGGATACGTTCGGGTTCGCTCACAAATATCCACCATAATCGGCGATTTCGACGAGCACGAGCGGCTGTGCGCGCCTCCATGACAGACCCCGCCACAATCGTCACCGCCTGGTTGGACACATGTGGGCGAAGGAGTTGTGGGGCCTCCCCCTTCCAACCCAGCGCCTCGGCACAATTTGCCCCAACAGGTTACGCGGGCATTCGATGTTTCTGGTAGGCCAAAAGGAAAGTGACCTGGAGCGGGGAATGCCCGGACGCTTGCCCTGCAGCCGAAGCGCACAACGGGCCTTTGAGCCCGGCCACGGTGTTGCCTGTGCCAACCGGCCCCAACCGGCGCAGGGAAGGCGAGGGTTTATCCGTTCCCCACCCCAGCCTCTCCACAATCCAACCACACACAGCCCTCCGAGCGCCCGCCAAGCACGACGCCCCGAAATCAGGACGCCGCGCCCACCAGCGGCAAGCCCGAATTTCCTTGCTGACCAGGTGCCCACAAGAATGGATATTCAACATCCACGGTGGGCCACTTGCATGCCCACACGCGCTCACTGCGCCTCCGCCCAACCCCCCTCCCGCCACCCGCCGCTGGCCATGCGCCCGGAGCAGTGCCCCCCGGTGGCCCAGAGCGCACGCAGCCCGCCGGGAGACCGTACCTGGAACAGCCTGAACTGCTTCTCTGTGTCCGGGTCAGGGAAGCTCATCGTCAGGCCCCACCGCGTGCTCCCCGTGTCCGGATCGCTGTACTGGCCGTTGTCCGCGCTCCCCGAGGCCGCCTCCGTGCCAGACTGCCCCGGCTGCCCCGCGGCCGCGCGCCAGAAGTCGATATGCAGCTGGTACACCTCCACGCTGCCCTGGTTCATCCCTGGCAGCCTTATCGACAGCAGCTTGGTCCAGCCGGAGGCGTCCGCCCGCGGCTCCATCGCGCTGTTGAGCTCGTTGACGAACGACTCCGCCGCCGTGAGGCAGTCCGCGGTGCCGTAGCGCAGCAGCGCCCGAGTGACGACCTCGCAGGGCCCGAAGACGCCGAAGCGCATCGCCGTCGTGCCCACCACCGCCGACAGGACCGTGCCCGCGCTGACGGCCGCCCTGAACTTCACCTCGCGCCGGTAGGGCGTGGACAGCTTGCGCGCCAGGGTCATGAACTCTAGCAGGCAGTAGAGCATGGTCGTGGCGGGCTCCGGTATGCGCTCCGACACGTTGGCCACCAGGGACAGGCGGCCGGCGTGTATGTCGACCTTGTACAGGTGGTACTTCTCGGTGAGCTCGTCCATGAGGGAGTGCAGCTGGTGCAGCACGCTGAGCACGACCTTGGGGTCGTTGCGCAGGTTGATCTCGTCGTAGTCCAGCAGCTCAAGCTGGGCGACGATGGCGTCCTCATGGAGGCACGAGTACACCGGGGAGGAGCCCTGGTTCAGGAAGCCCGGCGCCCTGACCGGCCTCTCCCCCGGGGCGGTGATCGCGCTGCTGTCGCCAGGCATGTGAGCCCCTGCCGCGGGCGGGCGCCCGCAATTCCAGTGGCCGCCCTGGATCCAGGGGAAGAGGGAGCGATTAGCCCGCACTTGCGTCTCTGCTCGCCATGTTGCCAGGCCGGGGAGCCGTGTGTGCTGAATGTGTGCCACCGCCTGATGCACCCGTGCGTGTAATATTTGGTGCGGGAAGCGCGCAGTGCGGCGTGCAGGCGTCTTTGTGGAGGATTTTGGCGATTTTTGATAAGGACAATGTGGAACAAACGGGGACTCCGGCAGTCAGCAGGATAGCTGTGCCACGTCGGATGGGTTGGAGTCCAATCTTGTGGGTAATCCTGCGGGGTCGCGAGGCGCTTTGTTTGTTCTGTCCCTGTTCTGTCCAACGACCTGTGGTTTCTGACAATTGACGTCAGGGACATCGTGTCAATGTGCCCTCACGATGAACGCCATGGGCAATGGATGGGCAGAAATAACATGGAACAACAAGGGGAAGAAGGCCTGATGCTGTAACTCGTTACAAATAGGTGGTGAGCCCTTCGGTTGCGAAGGTATTTGTGCAATCTTGAGCATCCGATTCAATCTCCAGTCTGGGTCACGCAGCAACACAGATCTGCACCTCCCCCACCGCAAATCTCAAAGAGCCCTGTGATAAATCTTGTCAAGTTTAATACGGCCGGGTGCCTTCCCCCGGATGTAATCCTTGCTCCCCAGTCGTTCTTGGGGGAATGTCAGAAAAGGCACTTATTCCTCGTAATCGCATAACTCTTGGCATCACCCTCACGTGGGCTGCACTGGTGACTGAAGCGGTGGCTCCCAGCTCAACGATCCAAATGCTGCCACAAACGTTGCGGGTTCCTATCGATGGCAAAGGCTCCTCTTCATGTCAGCTTGAGGGTGGGGAACGGCCTGTCGCAGGCTCCTCTGCGCAGCCAGAAAGTTGGTGGGCCTTTCCAACTTTCCAGCAAGTCGATGCCGTTTTCATTTCCTCCCGTTTGCTATTCTAGCAATCATTGTGAACAAGCACAATGCAAGTTTTGAGTCGTGTTAAACACAAAGCAAATTTTGCATTGTTAGAAATTTTGTAACAATAGTCATCCGCTTTGTCGTCCCATTGGCTGGTGCAGCCATTTGTGAATCGAGCCTTTCTCCTGTTTCATTGATATTTTTCCCTGTTCCATGTGTGTTTCTAGTCGAGAACATTAGGACTAGAGACCACTGGCATACACACAATGGTAAACACGGAGGGAGGCACGAAGCTCCGTGCTTTAAGGCCTACACATGATATTCAGGTAGTTATACAGCGCGTATGTGCACGGCCCTTCTCGACGGCCCTCAAATGTGTGAACGGTCTGTCTGGATAGTCTTTGGCGTTCGGTACGTGCTCCAAATCGTAGTTGAATGGATCATCTTTTGTGTCAAGAGTGTGATACCTCCTGTTGGGGCGATTACAGCGGGCTGCCTGACTCGTGGGCACCACAAATCCAATCAACTGTAAACTTGTGTGTCCCTGGTTCACATCTGTCCAAGACGAACAAATTGCACATGCACTACCTTGTTATTGGCTTTCTGCCAAGGGTATCGTTACTTGGGCGCCCCGCTGATCAGCTTCATGAAGCGGAGACCAAATCCGTGAGGTAATTTCTGGTCATCGTGATTTGCGTTCGTAAATGTTGATGGCACTCAATGGTGTCCATTGGCAGTTGCGGCCTTGGGAGCGGCGGGGTTTTGAATGGCCTGCGCGGCAGCAACTGTATGCGCACCCCCAGTTGCCCTCTTTCTTGTCGTTCTGTTTGCTCACACCCTCTCCCGCCCACTAGCGTGAAGTTTATTCAGGTAGTGGGTGGACAGAGATCAAACTACAAGATTCAGGGACCGACTCAGGGTGATTGATAGTCTCGTAACACGTGACTCGTACTGGCTTAACTACCGGTGAGCATTGCACAAGTGTTACTTGAAACCAAGTGACTTGAAATGCAATGTCCGTGTCGTTCATTCACTCGTGAAGTTTTGCATGGCAAGTAAGGAGGTAGCCGCCAGCCTCCAATTTCCCCGACCAAAGGGGTGTCCATGATTTGTTCATCGAAATCCAATGCACAGAACATGAGCAAAGTCCATGCGCCCGACCTGTGGGGCAGCGCCGTCGCGCTGGTGCGGGTGGCCAGGAGCGGAGACGTGAGGCAGACATTGGATGTTCGGGACGGTTGGCTGGCTGGCGAAGGGCACGTCACACAAAAGCGGCACCTGCCACCCCGCCTCCCGTCATCAACCCCCTTAGAAGCCTCCCGTCCGCCCGCGTCCTGCTCCCAGCCCTGCGGGCCCTGGCAAGCGAGCCGCTCCACCGGTGCACACACGCCCCAGGCCGCGCGGATGGATCCCTACGCGCTGGGCCCAGATTCGATTCCTTGGGCGATCCGCGCTGCCCTCCTGGTCGTCTACGGCCTGGGCTCGGCGTGGTGGGTGAGGGCGGTGGGCCAGCACATGCGCGCGGGCCTCCTGCCCGCGGCGCTGCTGGCCCCCGTGCTGATTGCCAACGCCGCCGTGCCGCTGATGTTCGAACCGGACAAGGAGGTGCTCTCCATCGCCGTGCTGAGCTTCATCTTCTCCTGGCTCGCCAACGCCAAGGTGGGTGTGGTGGGTGGGTGGGTGGGGAGTGGGGGGTGGGGGGGATGATCTGTGACCGCATCCCACATTTTGATGCGGCATTCAACGCAGGGACCCATAGCTCACATCGCTTCGGTCTTGGCTGTGACTGCAGATGGTTGCGTTTTATCTCGGCCGGGGACCACTGGCGCGGCACCTGGACTCTGGATTCCTCCCCTTCGCCGCATTCCTGCTTCTGCCCCTGTTGCCAAAGGACACTGCGCACGGCGAGGGGCTCCGCGACAAGGAGGCCACAGCCAGGCGCGTGTCGTCCAAACACGCCACGCTGGCGCTGGGCAAGGCTGTACTCCTGATGGCCGTCTGCTTGGCACTGGCGAACGTCGACATGCCGCACGTCCCCCGCGACCTGTTGTACGCGCTGGGAATGTACGGCCTGCTGGGTGTGATCATGGACGGCACGTGCTCCCTGACGTGCATGTTTGGGCTGGAACTGGCACCTCATTTCGACAAGGTGAGTGGATGCAGGGAGCTTTGGGTGAAGAGGCGAGGATCCCTCTTCCAACACCAACCACGTCTTTCTGCCTCTTGCTGTTCCGATGGACATAGGCGTCCAGTTGCTGCAACCAAGCGCTTCGGCACATTCGAGTCTTGCTGGGTAACGAGGCTGTTTCGGGCAGTGGGGCGGGTTTCGTCGCAACCAGAATTGTGGGCACAATCTGATGAACATTCTGATGAACAGCTTGCATCCAGAGTATACATCCACGATATACCTTGTCATTCCCAAGGTGCCCCCGGTCCCCACAAAGCTCGAGGATGGGACTTCATGCACTCCTCGTAGACGCCAGATCATGCAAGCTTGCTTGTAGGCTTGCAAAAAGGGCGGCCTGCTGAATCTGGCTTGCACTGCAGAAACTGCCATGTCACAGCCTTTGTGTGTATTCCTCCGCAGCCTTGGCTCTCCACGTCAGTGGCAGAATTCTGGGGCAGGCGGTGGAATCTCGTCGCAGCAGACTCACTCAGGGCACTGGCGTTCGACCCCCTACGCGAGGGCAGGCTGTTCCGGGTGTCCCCCAAGCCAGCACAACCCAGGAGTGCCTCTTCACACCTCCTTGCCACAATGGTCGGTGTCCTGCTCACGTTCGCCCTCAGTGGCTTGTTCCACGGCGCGACGTTCTGGCACCTAACACGCACCTTTGGATGGAGGTGGCTGGCGTTCTTCTGCCTCCAGGGACCACTGGTGATTATAGAGAGGTTCATCGTGAGACGGCTGTGGCCGAAGATGCCACAGATTGTAGCAATCCTTTATGCAATAGCGGCTCTGGAACTGGGAGGGCGCTATTTGTTCATTGCCCCTGCAGAGGACATGGGCCTGGACAGAAAGGTCGTGAAGGCGATTCTCGATCTGGGGGCTGGAATGTTTGGCTCATAATACCTGTATGGGACAGAAGATGGCACCATGTTGCTAAAGGGCGGTTTATTTGTATTCTTGTCTGATAGTAGAGGACAGCCCAAGGGGCCAGCCCAGGGCCGATCAATAAACTGCAGCTGCTATGGATTTCATTGTACTGATTTCTTTTCATCCATTGGTTTATGTTATGTTCTCGGTGCATGATATTCTTGCATCTGTATTGCCTATTCATGCTGGACGCGGTACAAGTGGGGAGGCACATATTCAGCAAAAGAAGTTGTTTGGAACAATCCGTATTGGGCGACGTGTCAGACTACAAGAGCACGTGTCCCATCACCTTGCATGCTATTCTGGCACATCAATTTTCCATGCTGTAGTGCTGATCCCCATTCAAAGGGGGTGACCCAAACTTGTGCTCGGTGCATGATATTCTTGCATCTGTATTGCCTATTCATGCTGGACGCGGTACAAGTGGGGAGGCACATATTCAGCAAAAGAAGTTGTTTGGAACAATCCATATTGGGCGACGTGTCAGACTACAAGAGCACGTGTCCCATCACCCTGCATGCTATTCTGGCACATCAATTTTCCATGCTGCAGTGCTGATCCCCATCCAAAGGGGGTGACCCAAACTTGTGCTTGGTGCATGATATTCTTGCATCTGTATTGCTTAATAGTGCTGGAAGCAGCACATGTGGGGAGGCACATACTCAGCAAAAGAAGCTGTTTGAAACAATGCATACTGTGCGACGTGTCAGACTAGAAGAGCACGTGTCCCATCACCTTGCATGCTATTCTGGCACATCAATTCTCCATGCTGCAGTGCTGATCCCCATTCAAAGAGGGTGACCCAGAGTTAGTCTTCAGGCTAAGTGCCTCAGACCTCAGGCACAAGCCGCCTTGTGTATCAGCTCCAAACACAGGTGGACACTGATGCCATGACAATACTATTGCTGTCTCAAGTGTGCCTCCTTTCTTGAATGCTCGCCTGTGAAGCCCAGAAGGCCTTCCTGTAGGAGAGCTCCTCTGCCTCTTGATGGCCAACTTCTTCAACTCAGTTGTTGGTGGTCATGTGGTGGACGCTCTCCTAAAAGTTGTGGCAAGGGGCTAGGACGTGTTCTGCCCAAGTCAAGTTCATGAGATGCAGAACTCGTCATTGTTACGCTAAGAATGCATAGTCGTGGGAACATACAGGTGCCCGCAATCGCTTTTACGCCACAAAGGCGACTGTTTGGTCACTGACCAAATACTGCAAACGCAATCAAAGCGACAATTCATTCACCACACTACAAGTGTGGTATCACATGCAGTTTGGAAATTCTGCCAGATCTTCATGGAGCACAATGCTTGTGCCGCACTTTGGGACTTTGCAAGTTCGCCTCGGCCTACAAGGCCAAGAAATGCCAACTCCACTGCAGCTGAAGCCAAGGGTCACACGAAGGGATGCACATTGGGAGCAAAAACATCACCCACCAAAAGTAGCCTCCCATTTTCTTGGAGACGGAGCTGCACCGGCCAATCATGGCGCGTCCATTACTTGGAGGAGATTTTCTACATACGCCGATCAAATACCAGGCATTGGGCATTTTCAAGGTCAAGGCATCTTCAAGTTGTTTTGGGCCATACAAAATGGAGGAATCGAACCTGCCAGTCCCCTACATGACCCCATTTTCCTGCATCCTCTCCGTCTCTTCCCAGCCTGGCGTCCGGGCATCCCATCCGCCCAATCTGCGCGTCCTCCCCCCCCCCCTCTCCCCTCGCGGCCCTGGCATCACCTCTTGTGGTTCTGCTTGTAGATCTTCGACTTGACGATCTTCTTCACCCTCCTGACCACGGCGTCGTCCAGGTCGGGCCTGCCCGCGCCCTTGAGTGTCTTCTTCAGGCACGCCTGGTACGCGCCGTAGTTCCCCTTCTTCACCTTCTTCGTCTTCTTGCCCAGCGCCGGCGTGTTGGCCTTGTCGCCCAGGCTGGTGGTCACCACCACGCCCTCATCCTTGTCGGGCGCCGCCTGGATGTCGATCGTGGTAGGATGAACCAATCCAGAGAACTTCTGGCTGCGGAGGCCCATCAGGTTGCCGGGCTCCCTGGACAGGACGGCGCCATTGAAGCCCTTGACACGGAAGGCGTTCCTGTTGGCCACGCAGCTCCACAGCAGCTCCGGGGACACCAGGGGAAGTTCCAGGCTGCCAGTCGACATCGCCTTGACTCTGGACAGCCTGCTGGGCAGCGCGAACAGGTGTGAAGTTGCGATCGGTGAGGACGACGATGCGCCAGGATCAAAGGGCCGCAAGATTCATTTTCTCCTCACGTTTCCGAAGATCGCGCCTCGGTACTGATTACCGGAGAGGTAAGGAAGCATTGAGCGCACGAAGACGACTCCGCTCGCGCGGTCCAGATCGCTGTGGAGCCAGGTCAATGGATCGAAGCCGAGCGCCCAAGGCAGTGGAAGCAAATCTCAGCAATCGCAGATACCCCGATTCCCAGGGGTTCTCTGTGCGCCGGATTCCCTCCCACATCAACGCTGACTTTGTGCAGACCAGACACGCACCTCCTGCTGCTCTGTCCTGGAGCGAACGCGCAACCTCCGCCGCCGCCTCCACGCCGCGCCGACACAAGAAGCGGAAACGATTTTTTCACCGGAAGAAAAAACACCACTGACGCGAGCGACACGTCCGCACGCCTCACAGTTGGTCTTTGCCAAGACGCCCCTCCAGAGCGGAGCGGTGATTCTGGCAGCACGCAACACGACGACCCCACCAGCCCAGCATGACGGGGCTCGCCAGCGACGGCGCTGTGGACGGCGCGACCAAGGGCCGAGATGCCGACCAGCCTTCGGCGTCGCCATCCTCCCCGGCGCGCGCCTCTCTTCTTGGCGCGCACGACGCATTCCACGACCGCCTGCTGCGGCTGCCCATCTTCGCGCGCGTGAGTTGGCCCGCGCCGTTGCCATTGCGCCCTTTTCTGCTTGTCCTGGATACTCTGCGAAGAATCAGCTTGCATATCCAGGGAGAGTTTGCGAATCCTTTATTGAAGATAGGGAGCCCAGTGCGTGCGTGTTTCTGTTTGTGGCGGTTGGTGGGTAGTCGTGGAGGCTGCCTGCGCTTGTCGTGGCCACCTCACTGCGTTCCCAGTGTTGCATTTGCCTTCGGCAACGAAATGCAGCCCTGGCAGCTTGCCCAGGCGATAGCAGGCCCGCCCGAAGCCAAAATATTTTTTTGTGCGCCTCTTTGCCAT